CCCATTGCTTTGACATCCCTTTGCTGTGACATCCCTTTGCTTTGACATCCCATTGCTTTGACATCCCTTTGCTTTGACATCCCTTTGCTTTGACATCCCATTGCTTTGACATGCCTTTGCTTTGACATCCCATTTTTTTGACATCCCATTGCTTTGACATGCCTTTGCTGTGACATCCCATTTGCTTTGACATGCCTTTGCTGTGACATCCCATTGCTTTGACATGCCTTTGCTGTGACATCCCTTTGCTGTGACATCCCATTGCTTTGACGTGCCTTTGCTCTGACATCCCTTTGCTTTGACACCCCATTGCTTTGACGTGCCTTTGCTCTGACATCCCTTTGCTTTGACACCCCATTGCTTTGACATGTCTTTGCTGTGACATCCCTTTGCTTTGACCCCATTGCTTTGACGTGCCTTTGCTCTGACATCCCTTTGCTTTGACACCCCATTGCTTTGACATGTCTTTGCTGTGACATCCCTTTGCTTTGACATCCCATTGCTTTGACACCCCATTGCTTTGACATGCCTTTGCTGTGACATCCCTTCGCTTTGACATCCCATTGCTTTGACATGTCTTTGCTTTGACATCCCATTGCTTTGACATCCCATTGCTTTGACATGCCTTTGCTGTGACATCCCATTGCTTTGACATGCCTTTGCTGTGACATCCCTTTGCTTTGACGTCCCATTGCTTTGACATGCCTTTGCTGTGACATCCCATTTGCTTTGACATCCCATTGCTTTGACATGCCTTTGCTGTGACATCCCATTTGCTTTGACATGCCTTTGCTGTGACATCCCATTGCTTTGACATGCCTTTGCTGTGACATCCCTTTGCTGTGACATCCCATTCTTTTGACATCCCATTGCTTTGACATGCCTTTGCTGTGACATCCCATTTGCTTTGACATGCCTTTGCTGTGACATCCCATTGCTTGGACATCCCATTGCTTTGACATGCCTTTGCTGTGACATCCCATTTGCTTTGACATCCCATTGCTTTGACATGCCTTTGCTGTGACATCCCATTTGCTTTGACATGCCTTTGCTGTGACATCCCATTGCTTGGACATCCCATTGCTTTGACATGCCTTTGCTGTGACATCCCATTATTTTGACATCCCATTGCTTTGACATGCCTTTGCTGTGACATCCCATTTGCTTTGACATGCCTTTGCTGTGACATCCCTTTGCTTTGACATCCCATTGCTTTGACATGCCTTTGCTGTGACATCCCATTTTTTTGACATCCCATTGCTTTGGCATGCCTTTGCTGTGACATCCCATTTGCTTTGACATGCCTTTGCTGTGACATCCCATTTTTTTGACATTCCATTGCTTTGACATGCCTTTGCTGTGACATCCCATTGTTTTGACATCCCATTGCTTTGACATGCCTTTGCTCTGACATCCCATTTTTTTGACATCCCCTTGCTTTGACATGCCTTTGCTGTGACATCCCATTGTTTTGACATCCCATTGTTTTGACATCCCATTGCTTTGACATGCCTTTGCTCTGACATCCCATTTTTTGTTGACATCCCATTGCTTTGACATGCCTTTGCTGTGACATCCCATTGTTTTGACATCCCATTGCTTTGACATGCCTTTGCTGTGACATCCCATTGTTTTGACATCCCATTGCTTTGACATGCCTTTGCTCTGACATCCCATTTTTTTGACATCCCATTGCTTTGACATGCCTTTGCTGTGACATCCCATTGTTTTGACATCCCATTGTTTTGACATCCCATTGCTTTGACATGCCTTTGCTCTGACATCCCATTTTTTTGACATCCCATTGCTTTGACATCCCATTTTTTGACACATGCCTTTGCTGTGACATGCATTTTTTGATTTGACATGTTTGACATCCCATTGCTTTGACATCCCTGCTTTGACATCCCATTGCTTTGACATGCCTTTGCTGTGACATCCCATTGTTTTGACATCCCATTGCTTTGACATGCCTTTGCTGTGACATCCCATTGTTTTGACATCCCATTGCTTTGACATGCCTTTGCTCTGACATCCCATTTTTTTGACATCCCATTGCTTTGACATGCCTTTGCTGTGACATCCCATTGTTTTGACATCCCATTGTTTTGACATCCCATTGCTTTGACATGCCTTTGCTGTGACATCCCATTTTTTTGACATCCCATTGCTTTGACATGTCTTTGCTTTGACGTCCCATTGCTTGGACATCCCATTGTTTTGACATCCCATTGCTTTGACACGCCTTTGCTCTGACATCCCATTTTTTTGGCATCCCATTGCTTTGACATGCCTTTGCTGTGACATCCCATTTTTTTGACATCCCATTGCTTTGACATCCCATTGCTTTGACATGCCTTTGCTGTGACATCCCTTTGCTGTGACATCCCATTGCTTTGACATGCCTTTGCTGTGACATCCCATTTTTTTGACATCCCATTGTTTTGACATCCCATTGCTTTGACATGCCTTTGCTCTGACATCCCATTTTTTTGACATCCCATTGCTTTGACATGCCTTTGCTGTGACATCCCATTTTTTTGACATCCCATTGTTTTGACATCCCATTGCTTTGACATGCCTTTGCTCTGACATCCCATTTTTTTGACATCCCATTGCTTTGACATGCCTTTGCTGTGACATCCCATTTTTTTGACATCCCATTGTTTTGACATCCCATTGCTTTGACATGCCTTTGCTCTGACATCCCATTTTTTGACATCCCATTGCTTTGACATGCCTTTGCTGTGACATCCCATTTTTTTGACATCCCATTTTTTTGACATCCCATTGCTTGGACATCCCATTGCTTTGACGTGCCTTTGCTTTGACATCCCATTGCTTGGACATCCCATTGCTTTGACATGTCTTTGCTTTGACATCCCATTGCTTGGACATCCCATTGCTTTGACATGCCTTTGCTTTGACATCCCATTGCTTGGACATCCCATTGCTTTGACATGTCTTTGCTTTGACATCCCATTGCTTGGACATCCCATTGCTTTGACATGTCTTTGCTTTGACATCCCATTGCTTGGACATCCCATTGCTTTGACATGCCTTTGCTTTGACATCCCATTGCTTGGACATCCCATTGCTTTGACATGTCTTTGCTTTGACATCCCATTGCTTGGACATCCCATTGCTTTGACATGTCTTCGCTTTGACATCCCATTGCTTGGACATCCCATTGCTTTGACATGTCTTTGCTTTGACATCCCATTGCTTGGACATCCCATTGCTTTGACATGCCTTTGCTTTGACATCCCATTGCTTGGACATCCCATTGCTTTGACATGTCTTTGCTTTGACATCCCATTGCTTGGACATCCCATTGCTTTGACATGCCTTTGCTTTGACATCCAATTGCTTGGACATTCCCATTGCTTTGACATTGTATTTTGCTTTGACATTCCCAGTTTGCTTGGACAATCCCATTGCTTCTTTGACCGTTCCTTGCTTTGGAAAATCCATTGCTTGGACATCCCATTGCTTTGCCAGTCTTTGCTTGACATGCCATGCTTTGACATGTCTTTGCTTTGACATCCCATGCTGGACATTCCCATTGCTTTGACCATTGTCTTGCTTGACATCCCAATTGCTGGGACATCCCATTGCTTTGACATGGTCTTTGCTTGACTCCATTGCTTGGACATTCCCATTGCTTTGACATGCCTTTTGCGTTGGACTTCCCATTGCTTGGACCATCAATTGCTTTACATGTTCTTTGCTTTGACATCCCATTGCTTGGACATCCCCCCTTGCCTTGACATGTCTGTTGCTTTGACATCCCATTGTGGAATCCCATTGCTTTGGACATGTCTTTGCTTTGACATCCCATTGCCTTGCGACTTCCCTTGCTTTGACATGCCTTTTGCTTTGACATCCCCTTGCTTGGAACATCCCATGGCTTTGACATGTCTTTGCTCTTGACATCCCATTGCTTGGACCATTTTTTTTTTCCCATTGCTTGGCATTGTCTTTCGCTTTGACATCCCATTGCTTGGACATCCCATTGCTTTGACATGCGTTTTGCTTGGACATTCCCATTGCTTGGACATCCCATTGCTTGGACTTTAATCCCATTGCTTGACATCCCTTGCTTTGACATGTCTTTGCTTTGACATCCCATTGCTTGGACATCCCATTGCTTTGACATGTCTTTGCTTTGACATCCCATTGCTTGGACATCCCATTGCTTTGACATGTCTTTGCTTTGACATCCCATTGCTTGGACATCCCATTGCTTTGACATGCCTTTGCTTTGACATCCCATTGCTTGGACATCCCATTGCTTTGACATGTCTTTGCTTTGACATCCCATTGCTTGGACATCCCATTGCTTTGACATGTCTTTGCTTTGACATCCCATTGCTTGGACATCCCATTGCTTTGACATGTCTTTGCTTTGACATCCCATTGCTTTGACATGTCTTTGCTTTGACATCCCATTGCTTGGACATCCCATTGCTTTGACATGTCTTTGCTTTGACATCCCATTGCTTGGACATCCCATTGCTTTGACATGTCTTTGCTTTGACACCCCATTGCTTGGACATCATTGCCATTGACATCCCATTGCTTGGACATCCCATTGCTTTGACTTTGCTTTGACATCCCATTGCTTGGACATCCCATGACATGTCTTTGCATTGCTTGACATCCCATTGCTTTGACATGTGCTTTGCCTTGGACATCCCATTGCTTGGACATCCCATTGCTTTGACATGTCTTTGCTTTGACATCCCATTGCTTGGACATCCCATTGCTTTGACATGTCTTTGCTTTGACATCCCATTGCTTGGACATCCCATTGCTTTGACATGTCTTTGCTTTGACATCCCATTGCTTGGACATCCCATTGCTTTGACATGCCTTTGCTTTGACATCCCATTGCTTGGACATCCCATTGCTTTGACATGCCTTTGCGGTGACATCCCTTTGCTGTGATTTTGGAGGTGTGTTACACGGAAGTATAGAATTCTAAACTTCCTTCGTACTCATTGACTATCATTTAGATGGAGTACCATGATGATACTGTTGACTGATGATAGATTGACTGTTGACTGTTGACTGATCTCCTCCGGCCACTCGTAGGTGGAGAGCTGCCGCCGCGCTGCACCCGTGACCTCTTCGTCGATGGAGCGGGCCACCGCCTAGCTCCAAAGCTGATCCGTAATGGACATTAAAATGACATAGACAAAGTACACAAATGACGTTGAGACATTGAAAGACGAAGGACAAACAGTGGATTCACGTGTTGAACTGTTGAAGCTCAGACTAGGCTAGAAAAAAATAGGAAAAAAAAACGTTTGCACGAGTTGTGCTCCACTAATCTTCGTTCAGCTTGCAACATGAAGATCAAGAGAACACCGTCCCCCACCTCGATCTTGTCTAGTCGGATGGGCCTCTGCCTGTTGGTTCAAGAGGATTCAAGTAGTGTTGGAAAATCCGGGCCACTTCCCAACACATCCACTCTTTGTCAAATCCTTTGTCAAATCCTTTGTCAAATCCTTTGTCAAATCCTTGAACCTTGGTGATCCTTGATGCATGGTGTGCCAAGGGGCGCCGAGCCTCAGGAAATCCGTCATGCGCTGGACCAACTCCATTGGAAAGGAGGCAATATCTCGCGACTCCATCGCTTCCTTCAAAACAGTGCACAGGGGGAGGTCCTTTTGACAGATTTCTTTGCAGAAGAAGCTTGCAGTCTTTCAGGGCGGCCCTGGCCCAACCGATAGACTAGCCAAAGATATAGATAGGCTAATCCCATGATCTCCAGTTGGATTTTGACAGATTTTGACAGATTTGGCAGTGGCCTTTGACAGTGGCATCACTGGCATCAGTGGCATCACTGGCATCGCTGTCCTTGAACTGTGGCATAACCTGGGATCGAAGGTACAGAAGCTCCTTGATCCAAGGTCCACTTTGGATGTAGGCGTACCACTTGTCAAAGCGGATCTGCACCGGAAAGCTTGACGCAGTGCCACTGCTTTGTATAGAACTCTCTTTAACGTTCAAGTGGACAAATCTGAAGACTGCAGCTTCAAACATTTGATCCACAGCCATGTGTCCTAAAAGAATTTATGTCTCGGCTGTCTCGGATCTTCACTCAACGCCTCGCCCTTCTTCTCATCGATCATGACCGCGTTGGCGAAGAGGAGCACAAACGGTGAGAAGACCAATGAGGAATCCATGATGCTGTTGAATCTGCAGACAAGAGCAACAAGCGCAGGTAACTGAAGGAAGAACATCGATAATAGAATATGCAACATATTGCACAACATGTACCATTCTGATCCATTCTGCATGTGTGAGATGAATCAAATTATCAAGGGATCAGGAAACTCCAGGAACATGTTTGGAAGGTCATGAGATTTCTGTTGGGAATTCTATGATTCTGCCGGTGCACCGGTTGGGCACCGGTTGGCGCCTTCCCATCTTCATGGAGTCACTGAAAACCATCCACTCTTCACCATCCTGCGCGACAGAGCCACAGGCCCGAAAAATCCGAAAACAGGCGACAACAGGATCTTTAAGGTTTCTACAGGTCCTATAGGTCCTATAGGTTTCTGGTGCAAATGGCCCTTGTGAAAGCTCGAACTTTCATGAAATTTTAAGATTTTCCATGCCTCCTTCGATTTCAGGGGGAGATAGGGAAAGTATTTCCTGGCAGGGCAGAGCCCCAGCATGCCCCAGTGCCCTGCGGTCCGCACCACTCATCTTGTAGTCCGCATTGGCAGAACCTCTGAATGGCGACACCTCCTCATTGCTGTCCAAATACCAATACCTCTGACGGCTCTGACGTATCGTGACGGAGTGCCAAACCAACCATGCCAAACTGTCAGTTGTGCTTCTCTCAAGAGAATGGAAAGGAAAAAGTCATGGTATTTCAATGTATTTTATATAATGTGGAGTGGCTAACAAGTCGCAGAAAATTCCAACTGCATGTCATTGTCCTTCCGAAAGTTCTGAATGGCGCACGGTGAGCGTTGGCCTCTGTACAGCACACAAATGTTGGGCTGGAACCCTGCCACCATGGCTGCCTTCAGCAAGGCGTCCTGTCCAAGGAGTCCAAAGACACACAAAAATATGCAAAGATTCCAATTCGATGCTGACTCAATGCTGACCGTTTTCACTAATCTTGTGATGTCTTTGAAGATATTACACTATATTATATGCCTTTGCAGACTTGCACGCCACAGTATCTCAGGCTCCCACAACTTTTTTGGACACCAGTCACAGCGTCGCTGGATGCACTGGAAAGCGTCACTGCTTCTGCATGCTTCCAGATGGCCGAAACGTTTTCAACGAATCGGCCTAGCCTTCGATCCACAAGCGCTTTCGCCTGTGGAAACTTAAAACAACACATTTTGTGCAAAAGCTCGAGCCTTGAAAACTCGACAGGTTCTATCTATTTCATTCATTTTCATTCTATTTCTACCTCATGCCTTCCCATCTTTGGTAACCGATCATTCCAAACTCGACGTTGTGGTGCTGGTTAATGGCAGCTGCCGAATCATCAGTATAGCGGGCTCCCTTGTTTTCGGCAGTGAAGGCAACGCTGATGTCTCTGAAGCCTTCCTTGAAGTCTTCCCAGTCCATCCAAAAGGCACCATCGTCCTGTGTCATCCCCGTTTCGAATGGACAGCCAGATGGTGCCGGACAGCTTTAAAAAATGCACACAGGAGGAAAAACACATTGAATAAACTGAATAAACATTAAAAATCTTACAACAAGGTCGAAATCTGTCCTTGGTACCAACCTTATGACCGGTAGCCTTTAGGGCTTCTGGAAAGGCGTGCCATGTCTCCCAGTCCATGTCATTGAAGCGGCCGACCCATTCGTTGGTCCCATGCGGGTTTCGCACATGGAGTAGCTTCAACACGAAATCCACCTTCAAACTTGTTTGTTTCGCAGGAAATCAAGAGAAAATCTTTAAATTCCAATCAGTCTGATGAGTTTGTCTGCTTTCAACAGCAAAAAAACGTGTAAAAAAAACATTCAAAACATTCTAAAGCCAGGCATCAGCACCTCCCCGCCATGGCGATCTTTCCGTGTGATTGGAACGTCCACCAGCCGGAGCACCGTATAGGCGTGGCCTGGATGCATCCAGGTGTCGTTTCCAAGGCGACCCTATGACCCAGGTTGAAAATGGTTGACAAAAAAAGGACATGTCTATGGAAAAATGATGAAAAATGTATAAAAATGTCACAAATATTCAGCACATCAGACAGAACATCGGAGATTGATGAGATTCTTCCGGTTTTCTATGGTTTTCTGAACCACCCACTGCAGGCCTGCCAGAATGCCCTTGTAGTTTGTACGAGAGCCACAAGACTGGCAGTAGCCCTTGTCATCCCATTCTTTCACAACACTCCACATCTCTTCATCAGTGAAACGTGTCTTTCCGCCCACCAAGCTGGATGCATCCGCACCGTAGTAGCGATATTGAAGATCGAAAGTTTCCTTACGCATGTAGACAGTTGCATGCCTGGCTGTCCATGGAGTCTTTCCAGTGATGATGTGAAATGGAGAATGGTAACCATTGGGCATCGGGTCCAACACCATGCAAACAGATGGTTTTCCTGTGAGCATCTCCTGAGCCACAGATTCCCAACCTCGATCCAAACGATAGAAGCCCATGACAAATTTCGCCACAGCTTTTTCCAACAGACACGGCCAGAATTCGTTTTGCGGGGTTTGTGCGGCAAAGCAGAGATTCCCGTGCTTTCCAGGGCGCTGCCAATATGGCAATCGATCATCGATGGTCACCAACTTCCACTCCTCGGATGTTGGGTCATAGAGTCGAACATCGTAACGTCCATCCTCTGACAGAGTCTTTTGCTTGAAGAGCCGGCGAACATGGTCCGGGTATTCCGCCAGGGTAGACATGGCAGAGACCAACCAACAGTCGCCCAAATAGCCCTGTTTGATGTCGTAAGGTGACACACGGTTGAACAAACATGGTTCTCCTTCAGTCCCCCACAATTCGTACTTCCCAGCCTTTTTTCCAATCATTTCAGCTGGCCGAACCCAGCCAGGAACTATCAACTTCATCATCTCTTGCAGGTACTTGGCAGCATTGGGATTCGCATGGTCCCCTGTGACGCCTCCGATGCTGCCGTCCGTGGCTGGGAAGTCGGGATCTTCATACAGAGCACGGGCCATACGGGCCATGGCAACCCCACGGGAGGCATCGCCTTTGAAGTCGTGGAGCTCGGGCAAAGGAGGCAAAATCTCCACGGGGACCGGAATGTTCCTGCAAAAAGCTGCCAAAAGGTGCGAAATAGTGCTGTGTGATGCTGTGTGGATGACAATGGGACCATTGAATGACCAATGGATAAGCATATGTTGTAAGTATAGGTGGACCACTAGAACTTCAAGTTGTCTAAACTCCAAAAAAGGTCGGCAGCTCACATGTTCCAAATGGTTCCACGAAAAATGACTTCTTTGGAGTCTCCTGAAGTGCATAGGATTATCATTCTGCACGTTCTGCACCACCAGCTCGGCGTCATCGCTAGGTTTTTCACGAGGATGGCATGAAACGTTTCCCATTGCAACTTTGGCAGCGGGCTCGGGGCACTGAGGCTTGACCCTTCGGAGCAGAACGTTGCACATGGAATGCAGGACATCCGTGAAAACATGTGAAAACTGAACGATTCTGAACAACTCATAACAGTTCATAACAACTCTCCCATACAGTATCTCAAATGATTCATAAAATGATAAAATGCATACAATCAAAACTTGTGTCATCCTATGCCGGTCTTGTGCCAAAGCCCCATCGCAAAGGCCCCACCCAGCGCACCGTGTCTGAGGCTTTCTTTACTGGGTCAACCTCCCCGTAGTCTCCCTCTCCTGTAACGTCCTCGCGGATGATCAGGAAATATGAGGAACCATGGACCAATTGGACCAAGGGCAGAGATGGAGAGTACGACAGATGCATCAAGGACTGGTGACATGAGAAATCACACGGAAGAACCAGCGCCAGGGTCAAGTGATAAGACTTCAACAGTTTCCGTTGTTCCCAGGCTCCCACTTGAGATGCGATGGAGTGGTCTCGTGGCATTTGAAACCTCGATTCCTTTTAGGTGTGAAATCCCACTAGCAAGGATCTAATGAGCACTGAAACCACGCACACAGCTTTGCAAAACTTCTGTTTGCTTGGCCATCTCAGGAGAGAAATCATAACATGAATTTCATGAATCAGCTCAGAAAGAATTTGTACCATTTACGAACTCACCCAAGTTGGATGGCTCAGGTCATTTCAACCACACCGGTCCGGACCATCGTATCCAGCATCAACCATGAAAGACACGAACTGTTGCACCATCCTGGCACGACTGGGAGAACCTCTGCAGTAGATTCGATATATGCACGACAACTGGGATCGAAGAGCTCAGCTGAGCTCCGCTGAGCTCCACTTTTCCACAGCGTGTAGCGAGCTGTGTAGATTGGATCGACTGGGTACTAGACAGGATGCTGATGGATGCTCTGTATAACTGTACATGGACAGCATTGTAGGGCCACTGGTCTGATCATACGTAGGGCCTCTGGTCTGATCCCAAGCTGCTACAGGCTGTGTCAATTGTGTCAAGAATGGGATAAAATGGGATGATTCTTCAAAGTAGCCACACTGAGGGCTGCAATTTATCAACCCGTTTCAAATAATCATGCTGTGAATTCTCTACTGTCATACTGTCACATGCTTGAGACTGTCTCAAGCGAGAGCATGACACGGTATGCTAAAGAGCCGGCCTTCATGAAGCCCGGCAGAAACAGATCTCCGCAGCTCAGCAGGTCGAGTCAAGGTCTCAATGCCTCCTGGAAGTTAACGATGTTGGTCCATGTTGCTCCAATTTTAATACGTTGAAAGGGCAATGAGAAGCACCCCTGGTACTCTCAGCAGCATTCCGATCAAGGCACACATGCGGCTGCGTCGTGTCTGCATCTCCCCCAAGAAGCAAAGCCCAATGAAAATGGCGATGATTCCTGGAAGGCTTCCAACAATGGGAAAGGCCACTGTGTAGCCCAATTCCACATTGGCTTGAAACCACGCAACCATCCCAACGGCCCAGATCAGACCCGACAAAATGGAAGGGAAGATGAGCTTGCCTGGCTGGCAATGGGTAGACCACATCACTGAGATCACTGGATTCAGATTCCTGGCAATTTAAGCGATGTGATGAATGTGATGTATCCACTATTTCTGGTGGCTAGTGATTGCATGATTGTTGGTTACAACATCTTATACTTACAACTTACAACATGTTATATATATTTATACTTATTTGTATGCATCCATAAGTGCCATAGTATGATACCTATATCGAAAATGATAGGGATCATATGAAAGCCACAGGGGTCCCAACTCCCCAGCATCAGCCAACCACCATTTATCACTTTATACTCGCCGGCAGCCTGTCCCCATTTTTGATGGTTAAAACCCATGATCATTTTTTTGACTTCAACCATCTTCAACCCCAAACCGCAAGGTCCACAAAAGGTTGTCAGCGCAAATGAGCGCAACTGCTTCATGATCTTCATGTTGAAGGCTACTCGGAACCCCTGCCTGGCATGTGACTTTTCTTTCCCTTCACTGCGATGTAGACCACAAGGGAAGCTATAGCTGTGAAGAAGATTCCCAGGAAATGACTGAACACGTAGTACAGGATGTCATGGCGATGAGCTTCCCCAAATTCTCCATTCTTCAGATCCATGGGAAGATCAAATGTTGCTCCGAAAAGAAGACCAGCTGCAACTGCCATGGAGAAACCCAGCATTGCCGAGAAACGGCACTGAGACTGACGAGGCTGCTCCATGCTGTCAACCTTGCCATCACCGTCACCGCCACCACCGTCACCACCGTCACCATTCGCAGCCGAGGGATGCGAGGGATGATTGGAGGCCGTTTCACCACCAAAAGACGGGCCACAGCCAGGCCTGCCTTCAGGGTCCGTTTCGGCCTTGTCTTCCTTGGCCTTGGCCGCAAGATCTTGCGGCTGCGTTTTGCCATCAAAGGCGGACGCAAGGGAAAAGAAGACCAGGGAGACAGACGCCAGCACCAAACCGACAAAGTTCATGGCTGGGATCTCCACATCGTGCTCTTTTTCCATGCCAAACAGGCCAAAGTAGCCTGTGAACCATCCCATGAGCATGTTGCTCAAATCCCAAATCGTGAGGCCCAAGCCCAAACCAATCAATTTGATGATGTAGGGGCACATAGAGTTTCCAAGTTGAAACATCACTCCACCTGCTGCAGCTAAAGGCTCAAAGGTTGGCAGCTCCATCTCTGGTGAGCTTAGAAACATCCCTGTGAATAAGCCAACAATCAGAATCCCTACAGACATTGCTGCAGAGAAAAAGATGCCATCACCGATGTCACAGCTCTTCACAGGTAAGTAGTTCACTCCAAAACTGATGCCAGCAATCAGGCAGCAAGTATATCCAAGAAGTAGATCTCCCATGTTTGAATCGCGAAGCTTGCCGCAGGATGCAAATGGATGCAAAACACCTAAGAGCCCCTTTGAGCCAAAATCTCACGAAGCATCAAGCATCAAGATCGTCAAGTCACCGATTCATCTCAAGCGCATTCATCTGCGCATCTACACATACGATCTGCATAGGACAGTTTCCAAACTGAGCATCCCCAGCTTTCGACGGCCCACAGGTGCCGACAAGCCAGCAGCACATGAAAGCCATGTCCAGGGTCTCGGGACTCAAGCCCTGTGTTGCGACATGGCAGAATCCAACCCGATCCAACCCTGGTCACAATTGTCTGCCCACCCACTACGTTCAATCCATGTTCCATGGGTCCATACATGTTAAGTCTGTTAAGTTCAATACGTATTCAAATGTATTCAACACATGTTTGCTACACCCGAATCCTGCCTGCTCGTCGCAGAAGTCATCGCCCCGGCCCCGCAAGGCCTCACGGCGCCACTCCACGTAGGCCTCTCGTAGAGACAGCAACACGGTGATGCGTAGGCCATCATTGAGATACTCGATGCATTGAGATGTTTAATGATTTTTGATGATGTTCGCTGTGTTATGCATTCAACACATCATGTCACTGGGTGGGATCTTCAATCACAGATGCAGTGTTTGTTTCAGAGGCATTGTCTACGAGGAAAAGCAAACTAGGCCAAGTGAGATAGGGGTAAAATATGATGACATAGGCATGTACATACGTATCATACGTAGGTATGGTTACATATGCAAGATGCCAATCAAGATGAAAGTGGTCTCCACTAAGCAGTTCAGATACCATCACACAACAGCCATGGCATCGGCTGCCAGGACATACCAAGACCTGCCCGGTTCCTTTGCGGTCCAAGCTGCACAGTGCACAGCTTCCACCGGCCTGGATCATGGTGAGGTGGTCTGATGCGAAGCCCTTGTTGAAGTAGTCCTTGCCCGTCACCTGGCGAGAAAATCTTGCGTGCACGTCGCAACGTCGCAAGTGCTGCGGAAAAATCCCTGAAAATCTAAATATACTGTAAATCTTTGAGAATCTACAGCCCATGAATATGTCATGATACAAGTATGTTGAAGTATGTTGTGATATGTGATATATCATTATATATCTATAGTATTTTATAGTCATTTATAGTGGCTTCGAGATGCTTGTCCTTGTCCCAGTCGTTCTGCCTTGTCCTTGTCCGCGGACTCGTTCACGGACTGCTGGAAGGGGCTCTTGATGCTCAGAAAGGCCGCCACACAGGCGGCTGGCCTAAGATCGGAGAAACATGGAGAAACCTGGGATCGGTACCTGTTCGATCCTTTAAAAGGCAGTTCAATGATGTTCAATGTTTGGCTATTTGAACAGAGAAATTGGGCTCTTAAATCTGATGAACACTCCTGAGCACTGTTCAGCACCTTTTCACTCGGTTAGCTCGAAGGTAGCTAAAAGCACTAAAATGGCTAAAATGGCTGCAGCACATATACAAACATATGTACTACATGTAACATGGTCTATACTGTACACATATCTGATCACGCCTCCCGAGCCTGTTCGGAGGCACGGTGAGTCCAAGTGTTTTGAACTAGGCGAGTTTTGATATGTACAGCGGAGCATAGCCACGACTCAAGCCATCTATGCCTTCAGTGTCAGGTGATGTTCACCTTCCAGAAAGTGAAAGTTCATATTCTGCAGTGCCTTGTTCATTTTCTCCTCTATGACGGGTTTCGTCAAGACGTCGGCAAGCATATCGCCAGTGTCGACCTTCTTCAGCCGAAAGTAGCGCTTGGCAACGCGGTCTTGTACCCAATGGTATTGAGTATCCACGTGCTTGGCCTTGCCTAATCCTCTACGTGAACCCATTGCTATTCCTGCACTTGCATCCATGAAAACTTCACTCTCAGGTTGCAAACCCCAGTCTTTGGCGGTTGAAACTTCTCCCAGCAAATTGCTGGCACCGCTCACAAGAGCGTAATACTCACTCTCTCCAGACGAAAGACTAACAACTCCTTGTCCTTTAGAATAAGTCTTGATACAACAACCACCGGCCATCAAGACGCCTCCTGACACGCTCTTCCTCGTCTTCACGCATCCAGCGTGGTCAGCATCAGACCACATCACAAATGGACTGAGTTTGTTCTGATGAGGAAAGAATTGTGCCATGCGTGGTCGATACCTAAGGTATCGTGCAACTCTTTTGAGCATAAGCATGTGGCTGGTAGTTGGTCGTTGTAGCCCTTGTGCTAAAGATCTTGTTGCTACTTGCAGATCTGGTCGGTCTTGTGCCAAATAAGCTGCTCGCATTGCAACTGATCTATACTGGGTTGCTTCTTCATCGTTGAGAAAAACAGCGGCATCCTTAAGATCTTCCACTGATCCTTTGGCAAGTGGTGTCTTGACTTTGGCTCCTCGGGGACCATCTCCGAGTAAATCAATCACCAACTCTGCGTGACGTGCATCTGGTTCCCACCAAATTCCATTCTCCTTCCATGTGATAATTCTGTTCAGGACTCTGATGTCCTGGATGGTGTTTGGTGTTCCTGGTGGTCCTAAAATACCACGTTCCACACATTTCCACTTCTTTGACAGCTCTTCATGAAGCCATTTGATGTTGTCAAATGTTCCTGCTGTTGTAAAATCATCTCCATGTACAACAGTTCTGAGGTCTCGGCCTGCATGGTAGTATATGCATGGATTGCTTTTTCCTTGCTTGAAACCTAAGGCCAACATGACCTTCTGTATTTGCAACTCCCAGTTGAGAGGTGCATCTCTGGTTCCATACAATGACTTGAGCAATCTTCCTACCACATCTTCTCCAGGCTTCTTTGCTTCTGCAGGAAGCTCCACGTAAATCTCGCGCGTCGCATCTGAATAAAAGTGAGCGCGTTTCACATCCAAAAATCCTAGAAGTCTACGCTTGCGATAGGCTTCCTTGACAGCTTTTCCAGCGTCTGGCAACTGAAACGTGACAGCTATTGTAACTAGCATCTTCAAAGCAGACAAACTGGGCATGGCTGCGAAGAACTCATCAAAACCTGAGCCCTTCTTGACTTCTTGAGCTACTAACCTACTTCTATAAAGTGGATTCTCCTCATCCTGCTTGTTGACATCTACCCATCGTGTTCCAATGGTGCGTACCCCTTTGGGCATCTTGTGTCTGGGAATCTTTTCCCAAACTGGAAAACTTTCAATGATTTCGACCTCATCTTTTCTGGCTTGTTCTACACCTTTGCTGTCTAAAATCTTTCCACTGATGCCATCATAATAATACCATGTAACTGCTTCATCTTCCAACTCCGGTGGAAGAGGAATTGTTTCTTCGCAAACTGGCTCTTCTTCACCTTCAATGGACTGAAGATACCTCTCCCGATCTTCCATGATCAGGTTCATAAGACATTGGTCTATATCATCCATGTCATCTGGTCTCTCATTCTCAGGTGGCCGTTTGGTGCCCTTAGACGCCTGAGCTGAAGTCTTTGGCTTTTGACGTCTCGCCTCCTGAGTCTGCAGGTCTCTTCTGACCTTTGGTTGGTAACATCCCCAACCTCTTGTGTGATCTTTCTTCTTGCTCGCCTCCTGCTCTCTTGGCTGAGGCTGAGCTTGCACTAGCTCCTACTCCAGTTGCAGTAGGATCTTGTACTACTGGACCTGATGTTCCAGCAGTTGGCAAACTTGGCGCTGATTCCCCTGTGGCAGAATACCACAGCTCAGTGACAATATCTGTGTCATCAATCAACGGTGCGTTGATGACGTCTTCTCCTAAATTAGGATCAATTGGTTCAGACTTGATCATGTCTCCTGTCTTGAACTCTCTGGTGACTCTCCACCAGACGTTATCCCAACTGGGACCTTCTGGCATAGTACCCTTGAGATACCTTGCATTCCTGTCAAGGCGCGCAAACACCTTGAAACCTTGAGGGACTCCTTGTGGTCTCTCGCTTGAATATCCATAAAGGATCTTGGTGCCCTCCTCGGACACTTCTTGCTTCTGACCAGTGATTTCAGAATCAACCTTGGCCGTATGTTGGGCTACTCTCAGATTGCCCTCTTCTGCTTGAAGCAGACGTTCCATCCTTTCTCTGCAAGCTGGAGTGTGATGAACTCCAGTGCCTCTCTTGCCAATTCTAGTGGCATCACAGGCAACACAACCAGCTGTGTAGCCATACTTGTCCAAATCACGTTTGGTGATGTAAAGTCGTCTTGTCGACTTCTTTGGTGGCTCAACTGGCACTGATGGCGCCAGTGGCTGCTGATCTCCCTCAACAATCTGAGGAAGCAAAATGTCATCTCTTTTTGATGCCTGGGGATCCCAAGGAACCCCAGTGACTGACATCAACGTTTAGACATCATATCTGTCGTCAGCACTCTTGCGTCGAATGCTTTGCACAGTGAAAACACCTGATGCATTCCCCACTATCTTTTCAGTGGTATTGTCTTTGACTCCCAAGAAAACTCCTTGGTGCCATCTTTGTTCAAACTTGTGACCTCTTTTGAGGAATTCAATTGTTTCCCCAAATGGTGGTAATGACACTCTCCACTCACGACCACGGTGTCTAGAGTACGGTGTCTTCCCATCTTTGACTTCCAATGATCTGTGAAACAAATTGTAAGTGGTGCTAGCATGTTCAACCAACCATGCCAAAACTGGGTGGTCGTCTGGCACCTTTCTTCCATAGCTTGTCTCCAAGGCACTTCTGAGTGTCCTGGATTGAGATTCAATAGCTTGAACTGCTCTTTCAATTTCCCCTTTGGATTCTGAGACTCCTTTGGGAACTTTTTCCAAAACCAACTGTTTGTCAAAACCATTCTTGGCTGCCTCAACTACGGAGTTGAGTGCCGGCTCTGGGTCATATCTCATGACCATCTTGGGGTACCCAAACTTCTTAAGGTCATTCAAAAGACACTTAGATCCAATAGGACCTTGGGTAACTCCCTTGTATGGCAAAACGTATGCGTAGGTCAACTTGGACCATCGATCATGTACTATCAAAACTGGTGCATGCTTTTTCTGCACTTCGTCTGTGATGACAGTGTCATCCACCGAATTCATGAAACAATAGTCAGCTGAGATCACAGGAACTGTTTCATCTGAATGATCTACTTTGACATCTCTCATTGCCTTTGCTTTACCTCGAATGCAATGTTCACACCAACTCCTAAAAGGATAATGGCTGACAAAATGTTCTTCTTTTTCTCTCTGCGTCGGCGCTGCTGCAGTTGGTAGTGCTTGAGAACCTAGCTTACTACTGCCCGGTTCATCATCTCCACTACCTGCGCTCTCTGTGGTTTCCACAGGACTTACGCCTTCAACCCTTCTATGGGCTGCCCATGAAAATCCATGGCTACTTTGAAGACTCCTCCAGTCATTGTGATTGGTACCTTCTTGGCTCCCCTTTGCAGGAACGATCCTTTGGGGCCGAAGGTCACTGTCCAGCCTTTCTCAACCAGCTTGGACACAGATAGCAATGGCTTTGCCACATCCATTGCCCGGAACTGTCCCACACCTTTGACTTGTGGGCCTCCTTTCTCACCCATTGTCACCATGGGGTTGCATATGCCGTGCACCTGGACTGGTTGTCCTGATGCATTGGTAAACGGCTTCTCATCCACAGGCGTCATAGCCAACTCCAAAGACTGTGCCATCTCCTTGGGTAGGCAACTGGTTGCTGCCCCTGAGTCAACGGTGGCCCAAACAATGGTATCCACCGGAGATGCCAAACTTCCCAGGAAGTCAAGGTTGGAGTCTGATCGAACTCCTCCTCCTGGTGAGTGCTCCCTGAGCTTGGGAGAAGGTGACTTCTCCTTCTTCTTCCTGGCCTTTCTTTCCACAAAGTTGGCAGCTTCACGCACTGCCTTTTCCAAGAATCTCTTGGCACCTGTGCTGAGCATCCCCTTGCCCTTGGACACCTGGGCTGAATCAGCCCGGCTGTCCTGAGGCACTCTCGATGGGGATATGGACTTCAGCTCAATGGGTGCCCTGCTGGATGACTTGTCGTCCTCCTTCTCTGATCTCTCCTTCTCTTTCTCCTCTGGCCTCTTGGGGATCTTCTTCACTTCGGGCTTCAAATCATCTTTACCCTGGTGCCTGAAGCGCTCATAGTGCTCCTCAAGATGCTGCTTGCGCTTCTTCTTCTCTTCATCCTTGGCGATCTCTTGGCGCTTTTTCTCATCTTTGGCCTCTGCATCATCCATGGGGCGCTTCTTGGATGCCTCTCCTTCAGCCTTTGCTTCTCTTTCAGCCTTTTGCTTGAAAGTGTTCTTTCTTCCAAAACTCCAGGGCGTGTTGAGGATAGCAATTCTTGCTCTCCACATGTTGCCAAAAGCTTGCAAGACTCATGGAGTTCAGTGCCTTTCCACATGCCTGGCACTTCACATAGGGATGGCCTTTGTTGGACACAGTTTTGGACTTCTCGTGCAACTCCTTGAATGACATGAGCTCTCGAGAGGAAGTCTCCCAATGATGAACTACGTCTTCCATGCCTGGTGCAGGTTCCTGATTGTATGGTAATTCATCTGATTCAGCCTCTTCAGATGTTGGAATTTCACCATAGACCTTCTCATAGGCCTCCTTCAAGACGTTGTCCAACCTGCTGAGAACTTCAGGATCGGTCTTCAGCTTCTCAAGTCTGTTGGCAAATTCACACTCATCAGTGGTTTCTTCAGAGGAAATCTCGAACTTGTCATGGATCCATTGTGGGATTCCTTCTTTGCTCATCTCCTTCATCTTGTCCTCGTTGGCCTTCTTTCTAGCTTCATCTGCCCTTCGTCTTTCAGACCTGTGATGTCCTCCTCTATGGCGCTTGGGTTCCAACTTTCTTGCCTTGGGAGGTTCAGACTCTTCACGGCGCTCAGACTTTGGTGCCATAGTGTCTTCCAAGGTGAACAGCGCTGTGAGTTCAGGTTCAGGTTGATCACCAGTGGCAGCTGCTGCAGGTTGCTCTTGAGTCCAAGCATCAGACTCAACATTGGCAACTTTACGACCTTTACCTTGATCACCTTTACCTTTACCTTTGTCTTGACCTTTCTTGCCTTTTCCTTTGCTCTTGGAGTCATTGGTGTTCTGTTTGTACCAAGACTGCTGATTCCAAGACTGATTGTTCCAAGAACCCTTGTGGTATGAATTGTTTGGCCAAGACGAAGACTGACTCTTTCCTTTGTCTTTACCTTTGGACTTACCTTTGCCTTTCCCTTTGTCATGTCTTCCTTTTCCCTTACCCTTAGCAAGGGAATCCACATCCATGGGAACGGCTCCTGATTTTGCCTCTTTCCTGGTCTCGACATTCTCGAGATAGGCCAAAACTTCAGCTTTCACCTGGTCATACGTGGTCAATCTCGAAGCCTGCAAGTCCAAATGATCTTGCAGCTTGTTGGGACACATTTGCTGCAGACAACTCCTGCAGATGTCATCTTCAAGTGGTTTCTTCCTCCTGTCTTCATACTTTCTTTTCAAGTTCTCCCAACTCTCAAGCCCTTCTCGAAGCTTATCAAGACTGCATTGACTTGGATGCAGAACCTTTTTCAACAAGGCTGAATTAGCTTGAGGATTTTGAGGATCATATTTGCACAACAGTCGTCTCATGGCTTCTAGGCCAAAGTGGCTACCACGAGATGTGTTCTTGACAATTTCCAACGCTTCTCCCTCAGTCAATGATATGAGGGCTTGTCTAGCCTGAGCTGAAACAAGCTCGGCGCCTTCATCAAAGTCTACTTCTAGACCTGACTCAGTGATCTCTTTGTCACACTGAGATTCAACTTGCGCCACAATCTTCACAGCATTCTTGTGGCAACTTTCAACCCAAGTCTTAAACTTGTACCACCAACTATCCCAAGTGCCTGATGCTCCAGTGAACTTATCAGGTTTTGGTATGCCTTTCAACTCTGATCTGTCTTTGTATTCAACAGATCTCTCAACATTTCTGTTGATCTGAAGCTGCTGGTTCATAGCCTCGGTCATTGCCTGATTCAGCTGCGCCTGACCCTGAGTCAATTGGGCCATCATCTGCATAATCATCTGGGACATGTTGGGACCGTTGGTCTGTCCTTGTGCTGGTGCTGGTGGAGTGCCTGGTTGCTGAGGTGGCTGCTGTTGCTGAGCCATCCTTAGTCGCTCTTCAGGTGCTTTGAGACCTGATTCAAGAGAACCCTGGGTCTCCAAAGGTACCCAAGAAGAGCTTGAGTGTCAACCTTTTCCAGTTGGCACGAGGTGAGCGCGCCAGAGCAGAGACAGCTCGGCGTCGACACCTACACATTCACAGCTGGGTATCAGAACCTAAGCTCCGCCTACCATGAACAGAGAAATTGGGCTCTTAAATCTGATGAACCCTCCTGAGCACTGTTCAGCACCTTTTCACTCGGTTAGCTCGAAGGTAGCTAAAAGCACTAAAATGGCTAAAATGGCTGCAGCACATATACAAACATATGTACTACATGTAACATGGTCTATACTGTACACATATCTGATCACTATTTGAGAGGGATATATTATGATAAATTGATAAATCAAAGGCTAAAAAGAAGGAAAACGCAACTTGGGAGATCAAGACAATGCTGGAGATCAAAGATGAGGCGGGTCATGACAATGACTGCGGATGGTCATGATGACAATGACATCGCAGATTCTTTGTTCGGCTTGCGAAATGATGGCTCCATCTTCCAAAGTATGGTGAAGTCATGTTTTGGGCATGCTTCCCATTTTGCTCAAAACATATTTGAAAAAAAAAACTATAATGTAATAATGTTGTTGCTGCGAGTGGTGGTGTGGAAACCTTCTGGATGTTGATGGTGACGAGGAAAATAGTGATGAAAATGGAAAAGGATAAAAATTAATGATCATGAGAATTATGAAATACGTGGTAGAAAGTAGTAACGGTGACGTTGATTATAATCACAAAGCAACATGTTTCAGTGGATGACGCAAATGAATGGGGCAGAAAACAATCTTGGTAAAATTGCTGCTGCTCTACTGACAACAATTGATGACAAGGACAAGTGATAATGACAGCTCAAATAGTTGACAATCAAAGCATCCAAAGAGGAAAAATATGGAAAAATGGCTAACAGGTGGCATAAGAACAATACCCTGACCTAAATCTCAGAGCTTGGAAAAGGAATCTACAGATTAGGCCATTGCTTCTGCAAATCACACTCAGATAGCTGAAGCTATACAGTATCAGTATATACAGTACCTGTCCTCATCAACAATTTTCCAGCAGTAGCGATCCATGATACAGTTCTGTCATGTTCTGTCAGAACAGGAGGCTCAGTCTACACAGTTCAGTCTACACGGTCCAAAACAGCAGCATTTAAAGAACGCAGCTGTGGACCTCCGAAGCTTTCGCATTACATGGCATGGCTCATTTGGCCATCATCATCTTCACAAACTCCTCATAGTTGATCTGACCGTCGCCATCCACATCGGCTTCGCGGATCATCTCATCGACTTCCTCATCAGTAAGCTTCCTCAGTGAAATATCCGTCACAAGTCACAAGTCAGAGCAATACGCATGCGTTTCATTGCGTTTCCATGTTTACAAAGATTCGCTCTAAAACTTCATGTTATTGGATACTAGATATCATGTTTATTCATGAATTGGGATCTTCTGTTCGACTTCCTAAATTTGAGAATCTTTCAAACATACTTAATCAGGACAGAAAAGACATCACAGCAAAAACATATCTGACATGTTGTGGGATCGGTGCATTTCCCAGGCCAAAAATTATCCTCAGAAAAGGATGATAATGGATGATATCTGAAACCTAGATAAACCTAGAAAGAAGCAAAATGGATGGATTCTCGGATTCTCGACCTCAAAGCCTGAAAGCCTGGTCGGAGCTTCTCTCCAAGGTTGGTCATCACGTGGCGCAACTCTGCAGCACTGATGAAGCCGTTGCCATCGCGATCGAAGACCTTGAAGGCCTCAATCAGTTCCTCTTCAGTGTCAGTGTCCTGCAAGTGGTGACACTTCAAGAGTCTTCAAGTGTTCACACTGCTGACACTGCTGACACTGGTGACACTGGCAGATTCAAAACATGAGTCTGGCAGCCAACTTACATTCCCACATCAACGCATTCAAAGTGTGACGGCCGCTAGATTTACCCCAAGGACCGGACTTTTCAATCTAATGTAGTATAATATAGTATCATATAGTTATAATATGTTATAATTTCAATAGAGTTTCAGGACTGTTTCAGGATCAGTATAATGATGTATAATGTAGTGCAGTGTGAGATTGCGGCTAGCGCCATGTTCAGGTTCTCTCTGTGGCTGTCACTGTCCTTCATCTTGCGAGCCATCAAAGATAAGAACTCGGGGAAGTCAATTGTTCCGTTGCCGTCAGCGTCAACCTCGTTGATCATATCCTGAAGCTCGGCTTCCGTGGGGTTCTGGCCCAAAGATCGCATCACGGTGCCAAGCTCCTTGGTAGTGATAGTTCCATCACCGTCCTTATCAAACAGAGAGAAGGCCTCCTTGAACTCTGCAATCTGCTCTTCGGTCAGTTGGTCAGCCATTGCATGCACAGATTGGATGGGTGTTCAAGTGTTCAAAGCTAAGTGTTCGAGCCCAGACCTCTCTCTGAGCAACGGGAAGAGCTGAGTCAAACCGACCAATTTCCAAGCGACACCACGGTGCCACGGGATCAAATGAGAGAAGGACTTGATTCGATTCATCCTGAAATCCATGAAATCCAAGGTGTTTGGCATGTCAACACTCTATGCCAAGGAAGAAAATCATAGAAATTCATTCCGGGGCAACACAATCGATAACCCCAGTCTGCTAGCACAAAGAGCGGTTCAGATGCAACCTATGCAACCTCCTTTGGACTAAAGTCGAAAAGAGTCCAGTCCTGAAAGTCAATAAACACATTGGTCATTTCAAAGCGTGGGTACTGGCACTGATGCTACAAACCCTATTTTGAACTCTTCCACAAGAAGTTCAAGTCGCGATCCATGATACAGTTCTGTCATGTTCTGTCAGAACAGGAGGCTCAGTCTACACAGTTCAGTCTACACGGTCCAAAACAGCAGCATTTAAAGAACGCAGCTGTGGACCTCCGAAGCTTTCGCATTACATGGCATGGCTCATTTGGCCATCATCATCTTCACAAACTCCTCATAGTTGATCTGACCGTCGCCATCCACATCGGCTTCGCGGATCATCTCATCGACTTCCTCATCAGTAAGCTTCCTCAGTGAAATATCCGTCACAAGTCACAAGTCAGAGCAATACGCATGCGTTTCATTGCGTTTCCATGTTTACAAAGATTCGCTCTAAAACTTCATGTTATTGGATACTAGATATCATGTTTATTCATGAATTGGGATCTTCTGTTCGACTTCCTAAATTTGAGAATCTTTCAAACATACTTAATCAGGACAGAAAAGACATCACAGCAAAAACATATCTGACATGTTGTGGGATCGGTGCATTTCCCAGGCCAAAAATTATCCTCAGAAAAGGATGATAATGGATGATATCTGAAACCTAGATAAACCTAGAAAGAAGCAAAATGGATGGATTCTCGGATTCTCGACCTCAAAGCCTGAAAGCCTGGTCGGAGCTTCTCTCCAAGGTTGGTCATCACGTGGCGCAACTCTGCAGCACTGATGAAGCCGTTGCCATCGCGATCGAAGACCTTGAAGGCCTCAATCAGTTCCTCTTCAGTGTCAGTGTCCTGCAAGTGGTGACACTTCAAGAGTCTTCAAGTGTTCACACTGCTGACACTGCTGACACTGGTGACACTGGCAGATTCAAAACATGAGTCTGGCAGCCAACTTACATTCCCACATCAACGCATTCAAAGTGTGACGGCCGCTAGATTTACCCCAAGGACCGGACTTTTCAATCTAATGTAGTATAATATAGTATCATATAGTTATAATATGTTATATACTAGGCGCAGATGACACGGGACTTTGCGGCCAATTTAGCAGATGTTTTTTGGCACATGACATGGGATTTATGTATCGATTTTGCTATGGATTTTTCTTTTACACATGACATGGGAGTTATGCGCCGACCTAACGGGCAGGTATTTTTCCATTTTATTGACAGATGACATAGGAATAAGTGATCAAATTTACACATGACATGGGACTTCCAGGAAGACACAGACGTCCAAGATGGGAAATGGCAGGTAAATTCCTTTAAATTCCTCTAAAATCTTGTAAATTCTTTTAAATTCCTTAAAACTCCTTAAAAGTCCTTTAAATTCCTTTAAATTCCTTAAAATTCTTTCAAATTCCTTAAAATTCCTTGGAATTCATTAAAGTCCCTTTAAATTCCTTAAAAGACGAATTTACAACATTACATGGAACTTCCAATTCCTTAAGTCCTTAAAATTCCCTTAAATTCCTTCCAAATAGTTGCTGAATAATTGATCAATGGCTTCTAAATAGCTTCGAAATAGCTGCTAAATAGCTTCTAAATAGCTGGCAAATAGCCGCTGAATAAATGCTAAAGAGCTGCTAAATAGCTTCTGAATAGCTGCTAAATAGTTGCTAAATAGAACAAGGAGGTGAATGGATTCATGTGACTGTGGAATATTCTAACTGCTGACGTATAATTTTGGATTATTCCAACTGCTAGTAGGTAGTCATACACTAATATACTATCTTTGTTCATGTGGGATGTGAAATGTACAGTGTGTGAGTTAGTTGACATGACATGTTTTGCATCTTTTTGGATGCAGAGGTCCCATGTCATGTGATTTTTTTTCCGATGCACTTTACAGATGACACGGGACTTATGCATTTTTCTGTTTTTTTCACTTTGCAGATGACATGGGAGTTTGCGTTTTTTGGGTATGTCCGACAACTCCCATGTCATCTGCAGGTACTATAATTTCAATAGAGTTTCAGGACTGTTTCAGGATCAGTATAATGATGTATAATGTAGTGCAGTGTGAGATTGCGGCTAGCGCCATGTTCAGGTTCTCTCTGTGGCTGTCACTGTCCTTCATCTTGCGAGCCATCAAAGATAAGAACTCGGGGAAGTCAATTGTTCCGTTGCCGTCAGCGTCAACCTCGTTGATCATATCCTGAAGCTCGGCTTCCGTGGGGTTCTGGCCCAAAGATCGCATCACGGTGCCAAGCTCCTTGGTAGTGATAGTTCCATCACCGTCCTTATCAAACAGAGAGAAGGCCTCCTTGAACTCTGCAATCTGCTCTTCGGTCAGTTGGTCAGCCATTGGATGCACAGATTGGATGGGTGTTCAAGTGTTCAAAGCTAAGTGTTCGAGCCCAGACCTCTCTCTGAGCAACGGGAAGAGCTGAGTCAAACCGACCAATTTCCAAGCGACACCACGGTGCCACGGGATCAAATGAGAGAAGGACTTGATTCGATTCATCCTGAAATCCATGAAATCCAAGGTGTTTGGCATGTCAACACTCTATGCCAAGGAAGAAAATCATAGAAATTCATTCCGGGGCAACACAATCGATAACCCCAGTCTGCTAGCACAAAGAGCGGTTCAGATGCAACCTATGCAACCTCCTTTGGACTAAAGTCGAAAAGAGTCCAGTCCTTCAGAAAGTCAATAAACACATTGGTCATTTCAAAGCATGTGGGTACCGGCACTGATGCTACAAACCCTATTTTGAACTCTTCCACAAGAAGTTCAAGTCGCGATCCATGATACAGTTCTGTCATGTTCTGTCAGAACAGGAGGCTCAGTCTACACAGTTCAGTCTACACGGTCCAAAACAGCAGCATTTAAAGAACGCAGCTGTGGACCTCCGAAGCTTTCGCATTACATGGCATGGCTCATTTGGCCATCATCATCTTCACAAACTCCTCATAGTTGATCTGACCGTCGCCATCCACATCGGCTTCGCGGATCATCTCATCGACTTCCTCATCAGTAAGCTTCCTCAGTGAAATATCCGTCACAAGTCACAAGTCAGAGCAATACGCATGCGTTTCATTGCGTTTCCATGTTTACAAAGATTCGCTCTAAAACTTCATGTTATTGGATACTAGATATCATGTTTATTCATGAATTGGGATCTTCTGTTCGACTTCCTAAATTTGAGAATCTTTCGAACATACTTAATCAGGACAGAAAAGACATCACAGCAAAAACATATCTGACATGTTGTGGGATCGGTGCATTTCCCAGGCCAAAAATTATCCTCAGAAAAGGATGATAATGGATGATATCTGAAACCTAGATAAACCTAGAAAGAAGCAAAATGGATGGATTCTCGGATTCTCGACCTCAAAGCCTGAAAGCCTGGTCGGAGCTTCTCTCCAAGGTTGGTCATCACGTGGCGCAACTCTGCAGCACTGATGAAGCCGTTGCCATCGCGATCGAAGACCTTGAAGGCCTCAATCAGTTCCTCTTCAGTGTCAGTGTCCTGCAAGTGGTGACACTTCAAGAGTCTTCAAGTGTTCACACTGCTGACACTGCTGACACTGGTGACACTGGCAGATTCAAAACATGAGTCTGGCAGCCAACTTACATTCCCACATCAACGCATTCAAAGTGTGACGGCCGCTAGATTTACCCCAAGGACCGGACTTTTCAATCTAATGTAGTATAATATAGTATCATATAGTTATAATATGTTATAATTTCAATAGAGTTTCAGGACTGTTTCAGGATCAGTATAATGATGTATAATGTAGTGCAGTGTGAGATTGCGGCTAGCGCCATGTTCAGGTTCTCTCTGTGGCTGTCACTGTCCTTCATCTTGCGAGCCATCAAAGATAAGAACTCGGGGAAGTCAATTGTTCCGTTGCCGTCAGCGTCAACCTCGTTGATCATATCCTGAAGCTCGGCTTCCGTGGGGTTCTGGCCCAAAGATCGCATCACGGTGCCAAGCTCCTTGGTAGTGATAGTTCCATCACCGTCCTTGTCAAACAGAGAGAAGGCCTCCTTGAACTCTGCAATCTGCTCTTCGGTCAGTTGGTCAGCCATTGGATGCACAGATTGGATGGGTGTTCAAGTGTTCAAAGCTAAGTGTTCGAGCCCAGACCTCTCTCTGAGGGGCAACGGGAAGAGCTGAGTCAAACCGACCAATTTGGGGGTGGAGGAGATCAACACCATCGAAGCTATTGGTAAAGCTGGTTCATGTTGGTTCCCATCATCTTAGGCTTGGGCTTGATACATCTGAAAGCTGCAGCAATCAGCAGGAATTTCGCAACCTCACAAAGGGACGCTGTCCCCCCACTTTGCATGAAATGTGGAAGTGTGGAACCATGAGTTTATTCAAGTTTATTCACCTAAGTCATTTGTGTCATGTCTAAAGTTGTTCCACGTCACCGTGACAAAAAACTGGCCCAGCAGGGCCCAACTGTGGTGTGTCCAGCGCCGATTGGTTGCCCGGCATTTGGCTGAACAGGAATGGCTGCCACGGCTCTGCCTGGGATGAAAATCAGTTTCTGCCTGGGATATCCTGGGATTAGATCTGAAACTGTGGTGTTTTCGCTATACATCCTCTGCGAGTGTAGGATGTGTAGGTGTAATGTGGTGAAAAGGAATGCAATTGCTGCAATTACATGTATTACTGCAATGTATCGCGGTCAGCTTTCATTCAAAACAAATCCATAGAGGAAATGTCACAAGTTGGAAGCGACATGATCTAAGCAGGCGGCACCATTTGTCACCAAAGTGCAGAGTATTGTTGCCATGGTGAGCAAACAGCTGTAAATTTGTTTTGACATGTTTTGACAGAGATTTGCAGCATCACTTAACAAGAATTCACTCTATTTTATCCGGACTAATGGAGCAAACTTCATGCTTCGGAAGAACAGTTTGAACATGTTTGAACCATGGGCAAGCCAAAGACATGGGAATGAGAAGAGGGATCAGCACAGAGGAAAAAGGTCCCCATGTCTGCAAAAACTCCGTGCAAAATATGATTACCCAAAGAATTTATAAAAATTTGACCGTGGCCAAGCACCGAAGCTTCTATGCCATAGATTTCCATAGATTCTATGCTCTCTGCATCAGTGACCATCAGTGTCAGGATGTGTCAGCTTTGAACCGAGGTCCGCTCCCAAAACGGTCAAATCGCCCGAGCGAGTGAGGCAGCTCATGTCCTGCAAACAGCTGGGACTCCACGGTGTACCACTGGAACTCTGAAGAACTCTGAAGAACTCGGAACATCACCCGCATCACGATGCATCACGATGCATCACGATGCATCATGATGTATCGCGCGCATCACGGGTCCTTCAGGAGCTTCACTGCCGCATCAACTGCCTGACACAGAACGGAAGCATACGGAAGCTTTTCACAGTTTTCACCACTGTGACATGGGATCTCCATTTCAGCCATATCAAAACGGCAACACCCAACGGACCATATCTGAGCATATCTCAGCATATCTGAGCATCCACGCCTTTGGCTGAGGCGCTGCCATTGAATTCGTTAGCATCGAAGAGATTTCTGAGTTGCTGCCGCCATGAATGACCTGACGTCATTGATTTGTGTCCGGCGTGTCATCTGTGTTTTTGTCTGAGTTTTTTGTCCCTCACAAACTTGTTCTTTGTGTCATTTTGTGTATCTGCCTTGGATTGCAAAACCACCTCTTCCATGGATGAGGACAGCATCTGCGGGATGGGAAACTGCTCAAAGTCTTTGAATTTGAAGCCTTGGCAAAGAATTGCAAACACGTCGAGTTTAGGATCCAAAGTCAAGGCGAAGAAAGCTGAGAGACCCTTTCCTTCCCTTTGCAGCTCTGGAAACCTCAAAATATCAAGCAGAGCAGCTGGGAAAGAGGTGCACCACCAATCCCTCTTGACATCGGCCAGCTCGACCGCGCCGCTGGATGGCATTTGCCTTGCACAGCTGTGACCCTGAGAACCATGACTAGAGACATGTCGACACAAAATAAGATCAATGCGTGTGCAGAAACGGCTTGACCTTGTTGGATTGAGATGGGTTGTACACTGTGTACACGAGTTAGTGATAGTTAGTGTAGGTTGTGTTCATTTTGTTCCCCTTTCGTATCGGCTCAATCTCGGCGAAAGTCCGCCTCCACTCTCTTCAGCGTGTGCTTTCCCATTTGGAAAAGATCACATATCACAGGAACTGACATCCTTTAAAAAAAAAAAATAATAATAATAATAAAGACATCGTAACATATCGTAACTCTCCTCCAAATTTGGTGATATTTCTGGTGCTGCTCTGTCAAGCTCCATGCTAAGCTCCAGCCTTCGTCACCATCTTGGCATCCAAGCTGGAGATGCCTGTGCCTAGCGTTGATAGCGTTGCAGTTGAGTTTGTTGACTTCGATTTCAAGTCGAAGTTGATCTTCCAAAACATCCAAGCTTCACAAAAGTTGCAATATGTTGCAATGACTTCTGAAACATTTAAGACATATATAAAACATATCAAAACATAACACAATTCTCCCTGAATAGCGTTACCAGTTACCATGTGATACCGAGAACTTCAACACTTCAACGGCCGTCGGTCTCCGCCTGCATCGTAGCTTCGCTCCTTGCGCACGCCGGTGTCGATGACGTAGACCACGTCGTCGATGGTCACCGACGCCTCAGCGATGTTCGTGGAGAGCACCACCTGCGCCGAGATCGACATCCAGAGAATTCCAGAGACCGGAGACCGCCTCCGAAACGGGAAAAATCTTGGCAAGATGCAATAAGACTCAATATTGATATTCAATATTGTCAAATATTCTCAATGTCCAAAAGTAGTGACTTAGATGAACTCAGTATGTTGATGATTGATGTTTTTTTGTTTCTGCAATGAAACATAATGAAACTTTTGGTGAAACCCGTCGATATTGTCAAACATCCCGGCGCCTTTCGGGTGCCTTTTGGCGGTCGCTCGAAAGCCTCATGCTGTTGCTCTGGCGTCATCAAGGAGTGTAAGGTGATGAGTTTGTAGTTCTCACCTGAACGGCCAAGATTGAGCTGCTTAGGTTTGGATGTTTGGCTTCCAGAAAAAGAAATATTGAAAAAGATCGAGCAAAATGTGACGATGCGAAGCACTTCAGTGGAAACGTCCATGTCCAAACATTGAGGGAACAGATTTCTATGATGATACCATGAGTATCCATGAATAGTCAGCCTCAAGTGACACTCTTTAAGTTCCAGCCTGATTGGTACAAGCGGATGAAAGTCTTGGTGATGTCACCCCAACCTGTGACGAACATTGAGGATGTCGGATGTCGGATGGATGTCGGGCACAGCTCATGGCTGTCGCGTCGCTGTTAAAACTCCGTCCTGGGAGAAAGATCAGGATGGCGCCATCACCCTTCGGCTCCGTCTTGTGGAAGTAGTACACCAATTCCTTCCAGTTCGTGTGCTCAAACTGTGGGTGAAAATGGCATGACATGACATACTAACCGAATCATATCGAATCAAACCGAATCAAACCCATCCTCCACCAAGTCAACGTAGACCTCAAGCAGAAGCATGGTCAGGGGTAACATATGGTAACATGGTAACATAAGGCTTACAATCCAAAGGTCGAAAGATTTCAGCTACAAGCATTGCTTCCCCACCTCACACTCCCTCCAAAGCGCACAAGCTCTCAAGGTCTTGTCTGAGTAGTCATTGGCCCGAACTTTGCTCGGCCTGCCACCAAAGTGAAGCGCAACCCGATCAGCCCGATTTGCGAATACTGGAGATTGACCTTCGACATCCTTCGACATCCTTCGACCGTCTCCGCCTCACTTGAGGAATGTCCACGTTCATTATGGCCTGGTAGCATGCCTCAATCTTGTCCTCCACACTGCCTCAAGCCACAAGGCGCAAAATGGGCAGGACAAACTCATCTTAAAAGACATGTTTTTTCCCATGGTTTTTTCATGTTTTGTTCAAGTGTGGAGATATCTGGTGTCTGCTGCCAGGTAACCATCATCTCGACCGCCTTTTTTGCCTTTGCCTTTGCCAGCGCCCTTGTCTGCTGGGCAGAATGAAACCCATTCACACGCGTCCTAGCGGGGGTTGCAGCGATTCAAGTTGCCGAGTTCGTAGCACATGCAGGTATACACCAAATTGCCAAATTGCCATCGTTGACCAATAAAGATTCATTATATTTCATTAAGGAGCAACATGACATGACCTACTTAGCAGACTTTGATCGAATGCATCATTCATATCAGCAAACCCACAAATCTGATCGAATCTCACTGATCCTCTCATTAGTTTCGACGTTGGGGCTGGAGCAGCAGTCCTCAAAGTAGAAGTCTTCAACGGGAAACATTCTTCCAGGAATTTTGACCTGAGCAACTCCGTCAAAAATCGGCACAAAAGACATCTTGACGTTGGTGCATCAGGTTCATTAAAATCTCCACTAAAATCCTCCATCACTGAGTTGCCCAGCTGGCTTCAACGCTGTCTGGCCATTCACTTGCCCAAAGTAGTTAGCAAAGTCTTCAGCTTTCACCGTGGCACTCATCAAAACCACCTTTTCGGCCACAAGCTGCAGCGCAAGGGAGAAAACTAGGGAGAAAAGGGAGAAAAATTAGATAAAATTAGGGGAGAAATATATAAGTGTAACTGTAAAGGATATAAATGTGCAAGGTCTAACCGGGGTCTGATTCTTGAAACAATAATTACAGTGCTTGTGTTCTTGGAGTTTGCCCTCGAGCATAAAACCCTGACTTTTGGAATGCGCTAAGAGTTCGGACCAATTGTCACATGAATTCTGCCAGGATTTGGTTTGCGACGCTTTTGCTCAAAAAATGCGCATGTCGGCGCCCGCCTTGAGATGCGGCATGTGGCCGTTCAGCATCGCCTCCTTCAGGAGCAGCAGCAAAAAGTCGGTGTAAACCTCGCTACGGAACGATCGGAACGGGGAAATCGGGGAAATGGTGAGGCAACTTGAACCAGGGACAAGTCGACAAGTCGACAAATCCCTGGATTGGAGCAACTTAAATCACACCGGCGGCAAAGTTTTCCAATTCTTGCTTCAAATTTGAGTTTTCTTCTGCCGAGCCGACAACAGAACCGGGTTCGCGACATCTCTCTCGTGCACCTCGTCGATGATGAGGCAACCGATGCTATCCTGCGACACATACTTTGAAGCCATGAATCCATGATGTGATGATATATGTGTAATATATGTATAATAATATCATAATATATGTAATCATATGTAATCCACAATGGAAAACCATGAACACATGTCAAGAAATTGGGGTTTAAAAAACGATGGAAAGCATGATTTTAGGATCAGCCTTTGGAGCCCCTTTTGGAGCGCTGTCCAGCGTGGGCTCGCTGTGCAACCGTCTCAGCACGATGGCCGTGGTGGCATAGATCAAGCCTCACCGGGAAACATACACCGAGCACTTCGAGAGACAGAATCAGTCCCTCTCAGGATGCTCTCAACATGTCAAACCTCGAAATAAATCATCAAATTTTGCACGTGACCCTTGACCCCTTCTGAGATTTGTGCGAGTAGATTCGCAGAACTTGTTGATGAAGCGGATCTGATATCCCACCTTCACACAAGTTGCATGAACTTGAACTTCCGGCGAAAGTTCTGTCATTCTTGAGATCGAAAGGGTATGAAAGGGTTTAAATTGAATGCCTGCCTCATCTCCAAGCTCCTGGAAACCGGAAACCGGAACATTTTGATTTGCCAGTTCTCTTTGATGTCGTGGCAAAAAGTGATGGAGCAAGAGCCAAACAAGACTGCAAAACCAAACAGCAGAGCCTAAAAGTTTCCAGATATTTTCACATCAGATCTAGCAACATTTATGGAAAAGTTGGGAATCCCTTGGATTTACTGAGGTTTTACCCTCTGGTAAACTAACATAACTATGGAAAATCACCATTTTTAATGGGAAAATCCACTATAAATGGTCATTTTCAATAGCTATTTTGACATAACCAGAGGGTAATCATTTTAAACCACTAAAACCCCCGAAACTTTCGCGCCCGAAACCGCCGTGTCCTGGCCACGATCCTTGGCGACGTATTCGGCCAACGTGATGGCGGCCACACGCCGTGGCTGGGTGCACACCACGACCTCTCAACATCAAAAAAACAAAGGAGAACATCCAGTTGGAGGCAACAGATATCCAGATTTTATGAATCTATATATCTCTATAATATCTCTATAATATCTCTATAATATCTCTATAATTATCTATATGTATGATGTATATATAAGAGGTGATAATAGTTGATTTACAATATTAGTTGATAATATATACAGCACCATTACCCTATCAAGGATATCTGCTGGGCTCCGTGAAGTCTGCCGCTCCTTGTCGTCGGGGACAAGGCTCTCAGCATCGCAAACCTTTGACTTATGGAATCTTACGGATGTAGTCAACAGAGTCAAAAACCTACTTGGGCCCTGGTATAGAATTGATAATTGAAGTTGACTTGACCAGTTGACTAGTTGACTACTTACAAACGTTCTGTTGAACATCGGAATCTAAATCTGAAATGTGTCTGAATCAACAAAGTAGAGCACTCAGATAATTGTGCGTGTGCGCAGGTGATGAGCAAGTTCTGCGCTGGCAGTTTACAGCTCTCTGAGTCGACAACAAGCTGAGGGATCAGGGTTGACCTGGATACCATTTGGACGTATGACCCGTATGACTCGTATGACTTTCACGAGACAAACTCTCAAGGGTCAGTCAGACATTGGCAACTGCCCTGAGGATCCCTGGCTTACCACAGCCGGTGTCGCCACTGATAATGCTCCTCAGGGAAAAAAAGCATCCTGTATCCATTATACATCCTCAATCCTCATCAATCCTCGCCGCCCAAATGTTTTTCAGTTGTATGAGTCCGTATGAGTTTCATCATGAGCCGAGCAACACTGTGTTGTGCCGGATGCCGGCAATGATCCAGTCCTGGCAGAAGGGAACTGGTCCATTTATTAAGCTCGTGGCTCAGGGAGTTAGAGTCATTGACGTACGGGCCAAAATTTAAGGAGCTTGGGATCCAAACTTTTTGTCAGTTCTGTTGATTTCATGTATCTACCATATTGCAAGGTCCCTTCATTCACCCCATACCCAATTTATATCACTTCATCCCAACTGAGTGATTTCGTATCATTTGAGATCCGTTTCGTCATTTCTTTCCCCACCTTTTTCTCGTAGGTCGGCATCCTCTTGGACGCCTCACTCATCTCTGGCGCAGAGACCCTCCGTGATTTCGGCACCTGCAGCATAGGCAGAAGCCAAAAAAACACGACCATTGAATCATTGATCTGTTTTAGAATAATTGGAAATAATTGGAAAATAATTGGAATATAGATCCATTCAACTCTGAAAATTGCGCCCTTGGATCACAGATCCCAAAAAGGTTCTTTGGGTTTTCTCCTACACCATGGAACGCCTATGTATTACGTATCATGGCTGTGCACCTCAGGTGTCTCCTTGACGTAGCCCTTTCCCGGCAAGAAGGCTGCAGCATCTGCACGCATGGCAGGGCCATCATCACCTTGGAGGTCAAACAAAAGATATCCACAAGGTGCGGCAAGATGAATGTTCCAAAAAAAAAATCATGAAAAATTTCAGTCTTTAGAAGAATAAAATAGAAAATGGTACAAATGGTACAATAATGTACAATATTACAATCATATTTTAAAAAATGTGTGACCTCATGACATGCCCGGTGGTGTATGCACACATGCCAGTGTTGCTCATCACCTTTCGAGATTCCAGCTTGCATGCTTTTTCTTGGCTTCGAAGAGGTGTTGCCCATGGGAAGCCTTTCAGCCGTTCTGCGAAATGGTGCGAGTTAAAAACAAACCACACCATCCTGTTCTGTATCCAAAAACTGCAGTCGAAGTGTGAACAATGGCGTCATGTCAGGCATGTTGCACTGAATAGTCATGGCACTGAATAACATTATATGTAATATCATACATGTGTATATATATATATTATATATATACATATATATATACATATATATATATGTATATATATGTATATATATATGTATATATATATATGCATATATATATATGTGTGTGTATGTGCGTGTGTGTAACCTTAAAAGCTGCATCTTAGTCATGACTGTCTCTGTGTATCTCTGTGTTACCGACCAAGTCATCCCCTGAGAGCATCGCTGGAGCGGCAGGCCTAGCCTCGCTGAAAGCTTCATGTTTACCAAGGGAGTATCAAATTTTATCAAAAACATCATATCTAAATTTAACTTCTAGATGCTGACCAAATGTTGAAAAATGTCAATCTGCAAATCACAAAAGCATGAAGATGCAGTTACGGATAGTTTCTGAATGTTTCTGATATACGAGTGATATACCTACAGTAGATTACAGTAGCACCTTGCCGTCGAGCACTGAGCTCGGCACAGGTGCGGGAGCTGGCGCCGGTCGCTCAGCAGGGCTCTCGGCCGCCTTGCCTGACGTCGAAACTTGGAAGGTCGGTTTTGGCCGTTCTGGAATGGACCATCACCCACTAGCATCCTGCAGTGTCCTGCAGCGTCCTGTCGCATCATCTCAGATTTCTCTGCCAGTTTCAAAACTCAACGGCTGAGTCTGCCTTTGCCGCTTGGGGCTGCACCTGCAACATCGTTTCAAAATGTTTCAAAATCTTTCAAAGTAAAAACATGGCTTTCATGGCTTTCATGGCTTTCATGGCTTTCATGGCTTTCATGGCTTTGTCTAAAACGGGATTCCGAAATCTCATGGATCATCGATGATCATCGTGAATCATTCTCACTCAAATCACTATTTTGGGGTATACCCAACTTCCACAGTCAGGAACATGGCCGACGAGCCTTTGCCAGCTGGAGCACCTGTCACGTCGATACAGCTGTTATAACGAGGGTGTGCACATTGAATTAATTGAATTTAATTGTTGGATACTGTTGGTATTGAATTGAATTGCATCGATTTGCATTATAAATGCTAACATATTCTAACTGCTTGGTAGTTAACCCTTTTTTCATGACGATGGATTGCCATGGTGTTGCATATGCATGCACATGTTGCACATGTTACATGTGTTGCGTATGAAAGGAATTGCATGGACCTTTGCTCGCCGGTGCTGCGGGTGCTGCGGGTGCTGCCGGTGCCGCTGGAGCAGGCGCGCCACCTGGACTATGGCGCTGCAAAGCGATCGCAAAAAAAATGGAGGGAAGTGAAAAATATTGTGTGTCTGTGTGTGAAACGGTAAAAATCTATATGAACATCTCATTGAATCTCCAAGTCAGAGATATCTCATGACATCTCAGATGTGGTGCCTTTCCCTTTCGGAGCTTCTTGACGCGCTGCTCCTTTTGCTTCAGGAGCTTCTTCACCTGCCAACATCAAACAATGTGAAACATGAAACACGTGGAATCTGACTTTCCAACAAAGAAAAGTGACAGCTTCAAGAACACAGCTGGTCATCGAGAATCATCCCATGCCTCCGCCATTGCTAGGCATTGGAAAGGCATCCTGCAGTGCAAAACGGCGAGGCTACAGAAGCTTCCAATATCAAGAACTGGACAAGTGACTCTGCCAAGTGTCTGCTTGTCGCTCCTCTAAGTCTTCCAGGATCCCCAAAAAGCTCTGAGCGGACAGAGGTTTCTTGGTGGAATTGCCTTGGGAGCTCAGGGCTCAGTCGTGCAGATCACGCTGGTTCATAGCTCAGTTCTGCACCCCAGAAGTCGTAGAAACCTTTGAAAGGCTCTGCCATTTTATCCTGCGTTCCAGTTTCAGTACAACGTTGATGTTTGATGATGTTTGTTGCTTTGAGGGCAAGTCGGAAAGGACTTCGGATAATCAGTTCAATTATGAAACAGAAGTGCCAGTTGTGAACGAGCATCTGGCGAGACATCCAACATAATGCAAAGAAATAATGATCCATACAAGAATTGCTATCAAGACCTGGGAAGACAGCAAGCCACATGAAAGGCTGCTCTGGCTCCTGGATATTTCTTGGTGCACCCTTGATGAGCTTCTGCAGTTGGTCAACCACCTGTCCGATCCCAGTGAGGTTTCAACTTGCAGAGTGCCCGGCAGTGCCCGGCAGTGCCCGGTGCCCGGCAGTGCCCGCCTGCTTCACATAATTGGCCAATTGTTCTGGCGAGGGCACCTCAGGCCGTGTCGGGCCGTGTCGGGCCGTGTCGGGCCGTGTCGGGCCGTGTCGGGCCGTGCCAGGCACCACATGGCTTCTCCGTGCCGTGTCGTGTCGTTGTGCCCTGCCTTTCCAGCTTCCAATCTGCCACGGACCTTGGAAGTTCATGCTCTTAAAACTGCTCTATCGATCCATAGTAAGCCATAGTAATATATTGCAATCTACTTTGGATCGATCTATTGGACTTGTCAGATTCTGAGATGAACTGCGCATGTCAATTTCATATATTTCATCAAATTCATCCCAATAATTCTTCCAAAAATTCTCCCACATATCCTGAATATGTCGCATCCAGGAAGCGCAAAACAGGATGCTGACCGCTGAGTTTCAGGCCTCATTGGTCACTTTGGCGATGTAGGTGCACACCGACTGTAGTGCCTGCATGTTAAATCCAGCTTGACCACGAAAGTGGTGCAGCTGAAATCTTTCCAGCGGAAAAACAAACTGCGAAAGTGCCAGAATTCGTTCCATCTGTAAGACACTGTAAGACACTTTGCAGATGCGCATTCTTCAGATGAACCAGGGCGTGGGAATTGAATCCAAAACTCTCTCAAACGTCATAAATGCAAAAACTACGGAATTACTTCAGATTTTGAAATATGGTGAAACAATGTGAAACATAAAGTCGTAAAGTCATGTAATGCCTCTATCCACATACAAGTTCTAATCAACATGCATCTGCACCTTGGACTGGTCTGACATGGCTGAACTACCAGCGCACCGTTGGCGCCAAAGCTTAGGGAGCCACAAAAGCCGATGCCAGGCGGTGCTGGACTTCATGACGTACAGAAAATCATAGAAAATCCATGTAAATTTACAATGTAAATCATCTCTTCCATGTTTTTGATGAAATCTGCCGATTTGAGTTCAACTCTCACCACCAAAACACTGGTTGAAGCAGGTGTGTCTTGGCCGAGTTTGGTGGATAAAATCAGGAATCGGGAAAAGTGGAAAGAAGTCATTCCGACGACGACGAACACCATGAACTACGGCTTGTCTGATTCTAGAAGAAAGGTAACAATATCTTGAACTTTCAAAGTGGTCTTCCTTCCCTCACATGACATGCGGGCACCTTGGGCATTTGGCACTAGCACCTTAGCCCATCAGCAACTCATTGCCCTCCAGTGAAACTGCAAAAGGTCCTGAATTTGGTCGTCTTAAGATGTCTTAAGTGTATAACTACATGGTAACCACACACTACATAGATCTACATAGCAAACGTTGTCCCTCCCTATCCTGTCCTGTGCATTTCTTACTTTTCCTGCCGTTCTCCCTCGAAGTTCAGGCAGGTGACGTTGAGAAGTATCACATGCCGACCACTGGGAAGTGAACACCAAGGTGAACATGTGCCAAACACACTTTGGAATATTGAAAGGTACTTGGACGGGAAACAGCAACTATTTCTGGAATGGGAAATGCTTTGGAATCAGTGAGAACTGCATAGAAGCTGCCCTCTTTGTGGCTGTTGAGCAAAATAAGCTCTCCGGGTGCGAGCAAGTTGACAAGACTCTGCAAAACCCGCCTGGTAAGAGACACTTCGAGACACTTCCTCAATGTCCAGCATACTTTGGTCCATGGTTGTCCTATCCAATGTGGACCCATGTGGAGTTTGACCCTCATGGTGAAGTCACCCCACAGTTTTTCACCCACCCGGCGCTTCGACTTTTTCTGTCACAGCACCACTTTGGCAAGGCTCACGGCTCACAGAGCAACCGGAGGTTCCGCCTCAGTCAAGGTCCGAGATCAAATTTCTGGAAGTTCGACTCAAACCCATCAGGACCTTGGGCTCTGGGTGCGCCACTGTGCTGGACTTTGATGCCCTGGCAGCACCCTCCTGGGATCTATTCAACTTGACCGAGACATACAAAGACAATCAACTGGATATTGATCTAGCGACAAGAAGTGATGTGACAAGCAAGAAAGCTTCACCATCGAGAATTCCAACATCTCCAACATCAGCAGCATACACAACATACACAAGATGCAATAACATGGAATATGAATATCATTGGATCATTGGAATAACAACATGCAACAATCTACAACCATCGGCTACGACACGCAGAGAGTTTTTGTCGCCAAGTCGTGCCGAGTCGTGCCGCCTCAGGACCTGACACCATGAGAAAATCTGTCCAGATCTGGGATCCGCGATGATGGATCCGATGAATCTGATGATCCCAAGCTGTTGAAATTGATACATCTATATAATTCTATACATATATATATATATCATATATATATATCATATAATATATATATATATATATCATATCATATATATATATCATATATGTATATAATTGTATATATGATTATGTATGTATGATTATGTTCTGGATTGTTCTGGTGATTCTAGCGATTCTAGTGCAATGTTTGATGATGCAGGACATGAAGACATGAAAGCTGACTTCCCAACGACTGAAGCTTCCACGCCAACTTTTGCTACCAGAATTGGTCTGCGGGAGGTTCTGCATTGCAGGTTGGGACTGATCCTAGCTTGGAGCCTACCTGGCTGCGACTCTCCAGCTGCAAAAGATTCACATTCTCAGGTCGAGCATTTGCCATAACCCTTCGCCAAACATAGTTCCTGGCAGACAGCATCATGGTCATATCGATGTCTTGAAAGGGCTTTCCCTGGATGTTCTCCAAGAGTTTTCGAGCACCAGATGGTCGGAGCAAATATGCTTGGGTCCCTGCATAAAATCCTGCAACTGGGACATTTGACCAGCCAGCGCCATGTAGCACCTCGTAGGTAGCCGCCTTGATGATATCAAACTCACTGAGAGGATTCTGAGCTAAGAGAAAGGGTGAGGGGACCTTGTGGCCTGATTTGTTCACTGCTGGAGCTGCATCTTCTTTGCGCCAATGTCCAAAAAAGTAAAGTTTCACCACATCTGCATCTGGAGGCAACAAAGGAAGCTCTTCTGCCATCCGCCTCCGCCATTTGGGGCAAAGATCTACATCCTCTTCCATGACCAGATACCAAGGATTCTCGCCCAAGTTCTGCAAATCTGTCCGGGTTGGCAAGTTGCCCTCTGCCAGTTTTTGCCAGAGACGGACATGAGCCGCGGCGATCGCGATGATCTTCGGGACACAGTTGTGTTCGTCCCTCTCCAGCAACTCCGACACGTTCCTAGGAGTACTTCGGAAGAGGTTGCGCCAAAACTCAGAGTTGGCAGCACTGAAGTTGGGCAATTTCCCAGGTGAAGTGTGCATACACACCATCCAGTTATTCACAGTCTCATGTAACCGAGCAGTGTTTCCATGCTTGGTCAACAAATCTAAGGCTTCAAGTAACTCTTTAGGGTCCTTTCCTTTGAAGCCCCTGACCATCTCAGCTGGTACGCCCTGATCTTTCAAAGCTGCCTCCGCGATTTTGTACCTTTCTGGATCAATGGAGACCACCAGCGCTTCTCGGAAAGGACTTGGAAGGCCACCAAGGTCCGTCGGTTCCAGGACGTCCACGGGCTGCGCGGGCTCCGGAAACTCTTCCTGCAGAACAGGTGGATCCGAATCCCGCAAGATGCGCTGCGAGGAGTGCTGTACAAAATTCAAAGACTCGGTTTCCTCATCGCTGATGCAGCGTTGGCAGATTCCATGAACCGACAAACTAAGGCAGAGATGACAAAGGCACCATGGCATCCAGTTACATCTGGAACTGACCATTGACCAGTTGAAAGCTGGTCTCCCAACTAGTCCAAAATGAAGAATAACTTTCGTTTCGTTCAGTAAGCAGAAGTCAAGCCATGGATTTTAGCTTGAGCTGAAGGGCAGCGGAGTCGATACCGTCTCGATCTGCTATTTCAGGTTCTCCATAAAGAGGGGAAGACAAGAAGAACAAAATGCATCAAAATGTCACAAAATGTCACAGAATGCATCAAAATGCTTTCAAAATGCCACAAACACATCGAGATCGAGGGTCGACTCTGAAGTCGAGTCGAGTTCGTTTGACACCACAGTACAGTGCAGATCCACCTCTAAAAAGTTGGAACCTCAATGAGCTGGCTGAACACTGTGATGCCGTTTCCGAAATCGTCCTGAAAGCAGAAGGCACCGCATGGCACAGCATGACATCACAACATTGAGCTGTTCACAATGCAATCAAAACAATCCAACTGCACCACTTGTAGCATGTCCCCCGTGGTCATGTCGTCACGTCGTCACTTGGTCACGTCACCCTTCCGATAACTTCCCATCCCCTTAGCGATCTTAGCGCCGCTCCCTCACGGCACAGTCTCTCAGCATCTTTGGCTCTGGCAGCTTGGACCTCAGACCAACGAGGACGAGCACAGACCACAATTCCATACAATTCCTTAATTCCAAATAACACGCCACACACGCCACACATCATTCATTTTTTCATTCAAAATCATTTGATCCAATGTTGATCCAATGTTGATCCAATGTGCTGCGCAAGTGGCTTGGCGATGGCTTGCCTTGCAGCATCGTTGCTAGCGTAAAGATGGTCAAAGAGGTTCATGCCTAGCGGAGAGCAGACGCTCTAAGGTGCTAAGGTGCACAGTGACGGAGTGGTTTGGTTTTAGTCGTCGTCTGAACCTCTGTAGATCGGAGTTGCCCATTGTTCCTTACCGCACCAATCCGCACCAATCCGCACCATGGCAACTATGGCAACTATGGCAACTATGGCAACTATGGCAACTGGTAAAGATCACGCAGTGCACTTTTTCCGCTCCCTGAGTCAGAGGCAACACCCTCCGGTGAATTGGAGTTCCAACCTGACGAATCTCCACAGTGATTTCATCACAAGGAATGGATACGAAAGGGTCATGGGTGCACTCAGAGGTTCACCATCGAAGAAGTGGAAGAGCACCAAGTCATCCACCTCAACTCCAGCTCTTGGAGGTACCAAATTGACAATACTTTGATGTATTATATTCAATGATATTGATATGATATTGATATATATATATATATATTGATGAATTCATATGATTTCTTCTTGATTCAGATCATGAAATCATATGAAATCATATGAAATCATATGAAAATGAATCAGATGGTGAACCAGTCTTCGCCCCAAAAGTCATAGCTGTGCCTCTGAGGAGAAGCCGAGACCCTGGAAGCGCAAGGCGTTGCTGAAGAGATTGCGATCCAACCTCAATTGCGGAACAAATCATGGAACAGGTCGTGGTACAACGATTCATATACAACAAGGTACAACGTTGTATATCTCAGGTCATTTGTCAATATACTTGCTGGTACTTGATGTATGTTCTCATCCCAAGATATCCACGAGCAATCGACAAGTGAAATGTTGAAGAAACTCGAAATAGTCGAAATGTTGAATAAAATGAATAAATAAACTTGAAGGCATCATTTTTATTCATTTTTCACTTGACGTTTCGAACAGAGCTCCAGGTCCCAAGTTGGATCTCCTGAGATGCCTCACGGTGCCCACTGGGGCGGTGCAGGCACTGGCTCCTCGTTTCCCGGAAAGCCGAAATCCACACCGGGCAGATCTGGTCATTCTGGATCTGTTCAAACTGTTCAGATCTTCGGAATTCAAAAAAGATCAGATCTTCTCCTCGTCCACTAGTGGGACAACACCCAGAAATAAGGTAAAGGCCAGCTGATCCTGGGTCTTTCGATGTCTTTCGGCTTTTTTTATGACACCGTTCAATGGCTACTGATAGTCAGCAAGGACAGTCATTGGACAATCATTGAGACCAAGGTGCGTGTAACATAAACTGGCAACACCTCACCCTGATGATATGACTGATGTCTGATATGCTGCAATACCTTCAAACCCGTCAAAGCAGGCTGAATACCGACGCCCTTGGACCCTGGCATGCACAAAAGGCCGCTTGTATATCCAGTCCTGATATCAGCATCTCTGGTGCGACATTATCGACATTCATCCCTTTTCCACTGCTGTTCCAATGTGAATGTGCGTTAATGTGCGTTTTCATGTGAATGTTACCCTGCTTCCACCGTCATGACTTTCCCTTCCAGCCATTCTTCCAGATCACTGTTTCATTGAATGTTTCATTGAATGTTTCAATCATGTTTCGTTTAGTGGTTCAAAGTGGTTCAACCTTTCGTTCAACATCTTTCAACAGCCACGTTTCAGCAGACACCGACCACTCAAAAAGCACAAAGCACGGTCCAGGAGGCTCAAAAGCCACGCTTTTGCGGGCCCCTGAGACCTCAGGTCTGCTTCACCAATGAAAGACATTGGTGAAAACCATGGGTGAAAACCAGTGACATCTATGGTTGGTACTTATGGTACTAAATGATGGTTTATTGGTACCAAATCTTGAAATCTAAATCTTATTAAGTACTTATTTTGTTTGTCTAATCCAGACTGTCAGACCCAATTTAAAAAATTCAGGTTGTGTTGTTCCAGACAAACCCTAAATCTGACCATGGCAAAAAATAAAAACCATCCGACAAACCCTAAATTCGTGTCTGAACCAAGGGCAGTTTCTCCGCAGATCCTACTGGTCCTACCGGTCCTACCGGTCCTACTGGTCCTACCCTCGGCCATAGGGCTTCAGGGTCGGGCTGCCGAAGCAGGAAGAAAGCGTTCATGGCGCAGTTCTTGGAATCGAAGTCAATGGCTGAGAAGACCATTGCTTCGGGCCTGTCACAAAGTGGATATCACTGCTCATAGATTCATAGATGCTGACTAGGCCAGCAATTCATAGAAACTCTTGGTGACATGTGAAGACATACAAAGAGATATTTATGATATCTATGATATGATTCTGATATGCTTTCTGTCAATGATGTCAATGATGTCAATGATGTCGAATTCAAAACAGGCTGCTTAAAAGCGATTCGCTCGCCCAGGTACCGCTGTGCTGCCGATGCTGCGGCCGCCTCTGCAGCCTGTGCCAAGTGACATCGATCATAACATTGGATCAGAAGATTCATGAGTTTTGGTATAGTATGGTATAGTCATAGTTACTCTTAATTAGTCATCGTTTATATGAAAAGTGTGTAGGTGTGTTCTATCTAAGTGATAACAGTTGATTGAATCGTTCTTGCCATTCTTTCAGTTATGAATCATATTATTTATATTATCCTATTGTATCCAATGATATCATGCTATGCACAGCTGACTCCACCGTTTCATCGTTGCATGACAGAAACTGCTGAAAACCTGCTTAGGCGCTCACCATGGCTTGTTGCAAGGCCGGCAGCGGATTCTTCAGCCACACAGAATCGAAATCAAACCAGAAGACATCAAAACCTGCAAGCTGCAAGAAGCTGCAAGAAGCGCACGCACATGATTCTTGTACATCATGTTACGTTATTGTGATGTATTATAACATGCATGCATACCGGCATACCATCTAGATCGTTTGCAGTCAATCGGATCATGATTCGATTGTCAAAGTGCACACCAGCTCACACTTGACAATTTTTAAGTTCATCATTTATTTATCATAGTTCATCTCAGGTTTTAAAGCTTTGCTTCTTGTTCCCTCCACGATGAAAGCGATGTCCCCATGAATCTGAGCCCTTCGCCGAGCTCTAGGAAGGCAAGCCTCAGCATTGACGGTGTGGCATGGTGTCGCTCAGTTGCACGGCAGATGTTTTTTGATTCCGAGATATCCTCACCACGTGATCCATCACCAGTCATCGCCGCAAAGGCGCAACGGCCGAGGCACACAATGACATACTTCTGCAAGGCCGTCCTCTCCATACCCCGCACAAATAGCACCTGGAACAAAAAAGTCCACGACGATTTTTGCGAGACGTGAAGTAAAGTCACGTGTCAAAAGATAGTGCAAAAATCAAAGAAATAATCGATTTCGAACCTGTTATACAGTGTTTCCTCTTCAGACTGGTCCTTTGCATAGCTATGTCTGAGCAGTTCACTCCATTTCTGCGGCAAGCATCTTCAGCCAACTCCTCAGTGTTCCAACGACCACAAACATCTGCGAAGTGAAGATGTGAAACGTCTGCTCTGCAACGTGTGCAACGCAACGTGTGCAACGCAACGTGTGCAACGTGTTCGAGCACAGCTGTGCGCAGCAGCACTTTTTTCGGCAGCGCAGCCAGCTTCGGATGTCTTTGCGAAGCTCGGCATCTCGCCTCAAAACGATGTTGCGCCGGTATGGGTACGGAATTGACTGTTTAGTATGTACAGATTGGTATAGCATGTGTTCTATGTTTCACATTCCATGCTTTTGCTGCCACAGCCACTGGCACTCCGATAATGTCAAGGGCATTCCAGTGAAAGGGCAGCACCCTCGCACAGGTGCGGCCACACATTGATTTCACAAAGTTAAAATATTTGTGAAGGTATTCCCGACTTCCTCTCCTATCCATGCGTGTCACTGGTGACCAGCCTTCTTCCTTGACTGTTTAACATGTTGCAGTTCAGAGCAGTCTCATAGAATCACATTCACAGTGTGCATGATGTTCAAAGAAGAAAGGAAACAAGATGAGCGTGAAGAGTTGCCAGGTGATTGCCATAAGACTTCAGTGATATCGCCCTAGAGAAGACATCTTGACATCTGGTAGACATCGACTTCTTCGTAGCAGCTGGTAGCACACCTTGCTCTGCGAGCACTTTGGCAAGCACAGAGCGCTCGCAAGGTCCATGGCCCGTAGCCGTGCACACGGGATCCACGAGCCTGTCACGGCAGATTTCAACCGGATGATTAAATGATTAAGTATGTTAAACTAAGATAAAGATAGATAAACTAAGCATATTAAGTATATTGTATACATCTGTAGTACATCTGTATACTGCCTGAGATAGCATCGAAACTGCCAGGTCTGGAGCCCAAATATCCCAAATTGGATCAAGTAACAGTCGCCCATCCAATTGGCAACAGAACGGCGCTGGTGCGTCAGCGAGCAAGGCCCTCAAGTCCTGTGCAGCATGCAAATCAAGTTCAAATCATGTGCAAACTCTATCAACAGCATGTTGCAATAAAACCAGACAAAACATGTTCACTCAGTTTTCCAAGCTTTGAACATCTGAAAGATTTGATGATGTTGATGCAAAACGCGGAGACTTGGAACATCTTGGAATTTTGTCGCGGTAGAGAGACATTGATTCTGCGTGTTGCAGAACATGCAGGAACTTTGTACAGGAACTTTGGCCCACGGGGCAGCCAGTTCAGGCAAGAAAACTGAAGGTTTGGGATCTGTACATGGCGCAGCACAGCATCTGACTCACACATTCAAAAGTCATCAAAAGTCATTCGAATAAATGCCATGCCTTCGAATGTGCATTCTGCGTCAGGAAAGTACCCATCGTGGTCTCAGTTCAAACGGAGAAGCATTGCTAGCACCCGCAGCACCTCTGCAAGACACTTTGGCCATTGCACAAAGTTTCGGAGATCTCAGAGCGATTCCCGTCACGGAAATATGGCTCTTTCAGACGGACAGGGGATGTGTTTGAAGGCACCACCTGAACCCTTGCCGCAATAGCGACACTGCTCGTGGATGCCATCTGCATAGCAACCATCAAGGCCTAGCTGGCAATTGTTGTCCCAGTAGTAACTCTGCCCTGTGCCCTGTGGAAAGTAGCACCTCAGTTCCAGCTGCTAAAACATCCAGCATCAGATTTTGCATCAAGAAGAGCCCAACAGCCCAGCAAATTTGCAAAAATTGCAAAGTTGCAACGTCTTCGGCTTTGCTCGAAGCCGAACCGAGACAGGAGAGACAGCCGAGACACTCATCAGTGGGGTAGGGTGGCCGTACTTCTGGTGGGCATGGAACATCCAGGAACGGTTTGGCATCACAAAAGCGGCATTCCACATGAATTCCATCTGCGTTGCATCCTGCACGGGATGCAATATCACATGCTGCACATGCTGCCCTCAGGTTATCATGCAGATATGATATACCTGATACATCCTGATACTCGCTTAAAAATATCTCAGTCATATCCGATCCAACGCACTGCGCTGAACCCCCAAACCTTCACCCCAAAAGTTTTTTCGATTTTGTTTTTTCGTTCTGGTTTTGATTCATGTGTTGTATTTCTGTTGCGCTGTTTTGAGTTTACAAGGATTCTCTTGGGTGATGTGTCACGAAATGTCTGCTGTTTCACAATTTGTGTCCTTTCTTTCCGATTTCGCAGGTGGAATCCCAGAAGTGTGGAATGTTTGGTTCCGCAGAGAAGGTACAACGCTGCACGGGGCACGGGACGTCAGCGTAGGCGCCGGAGCCGCAGAATCGGCATTCCCGATGCCTTGGCCAGCTCGTCAGGTCAAAAACATCTATAGATCTGCAGATTTATCTACAATTTTACATGCTGTATACATAACACATATGTAATTTGTGATCGTTCTTGGAGGAGGGGGTATATGTGTTCCCCCCCCCATTATAAAATAGCTTAAAACTTGATACATGAATGGATTGCATAGTTATGACTTATGACGCAATGCGTGAGCTAAAGCAAAGAGATCAGATATGCTCAGAACGGCAAGCACAGTAGCAAGACTAGACTGCTGCAGGCTTTAAAGAGCGCATTGAGCTTGTCAAAAAATTGCAAAGCTGACACAACTATTAACAGGACAAAATGTGCGCACACTCCGAACATTGCAGTCATGTTGTGAAGCTGACAAGTGACGTATCAAGGCAAGATACGCTGATGCTCTGCAGGATGACCTTCCATGCGACATGGGTTTGTTGGCGCATGGGAACACATCGGAGAGGGGGCTTGAAGTTTGTAGTTAGGTGAATGAGCTTGTTGGCGCATGGGAGTACATTGGAGAAGTGGCTTGCAGTTTGTAGGTGGGAAAATGTAAAGGACTTGAATTTAGGAAGAGCTGAGTATGAGTTTGCAAGCAAGAAGACAAGCTGGGAAAGTAGACAACCCCCTTTTCATATCAGCTGCGCCTCACCCGAAACTTCCAGTCCCAGAATTTAAACAGGTATTCCGACATGACCAGCTCACCTGTCTTCAGCCACAAATCAGCCCCGCGGTTCCAGCACTCGTACTGGGCGGAGCGAATTGCTGCACGAATTGCTTTGGTGCCAGCCTTCACCCTTTGATTGCGGCGGAGGTCTTTCAGGAAGCGCCAAGCGCAATCTACATGTTTTGTGCCTGCCTTCACTTTCAAAGTCTTTCCATCAGGAAGACGATTGGTATCGACATGTACGTACTGGGGCAACGACCATGTGACTTTGCCACCACGCGTCTGCTTCTTCTCGCAATGGACGACGGCATCATGGGCGACCCCTTTGACCTTTGCCTTGTAGCTCCTGGCCGAATCAGTGTGCAAGACAATCTTCCGGTTGCGAAGTTACTCCTGCGCAATCGGGGCACAATCGGCTTTGTGAATCGTCCCAGGGCCAGGCGCACACTTCACAGAGAGAGAAGGATAGCTTCATCAGCGTCAACATCCGTCCATCGCTTGCCATTGCCAAAGGTCATGTGCTTTTCATTTTCCTCGACATGTCTTTGTCGCAAACTGGCCAAGCGACTGGTCATACCCTCAGTCATTTTGTGGTTGACTCCAAGAATCAACCCGCATTGGGCATGAGAAGAACCCACAAGGAGAAGCAGCAGCAAAGCAGCTTGGACTTGCAAGAGCTGATGCTGCTGACCCGAAGATACTTGGAAGATGGGATGTAAATAATGCGGGACAACGAAGCAACCTTTGGAGCAGCGGTACTTGGGAAGACCTTGATGGACTGCGCGGCGCAAAGAATCTTTCCAGCAATGAGGACATTGGTTGCCATTCCACTTTGGAAGAAGCCCATCTTTCTCCAACATCTGTAGGATCTGATGATCTGTGGCAGTCATTTTTTCCGACACTGTCCGCTGCCACTTGGCACGATCCATCCGCTGGCCGGATGGAAGCAGCACAAGTGGACCACATACGTACTTGACCTGCTGATGCTCTCAAGCAGGCCTCTTTTGCAAGACACGCAGTTTCCCACGCTTTGGCACCACACCTGAGTTGAACCTCTTCGTCATGGCTCAATTGACTTCCCCGAAGATGGAACGCAGTGTCTCAGCTCCCGAAAAAGCTGCGGTGACAGAAATCAGACATATGTGGAGTTGATGCCAGGTTGCCCCGACCAGCAACGACGCACCAGGGAACCCAACTGGGAAGCCTTCAGGCAGTAGACAAGGAAACCAGGTACAAGCCGTGTACATACTAGAAAACAATGGTCTAGGCAAACCACCGGGGAGCCGTGGATTGTCGCGCCAGCCAGGTTGCCCCGACCGACAACGACGCGCCAGGGAACCCAGCTGGGAAGCCATGAAGCAGTAGAAAAGGAAAGAACCAGAGGCTGGCCTGACATACAGAAAGGTTTTGGTATTGATGAAAAGGTTTGTACTCTTGAACAGCCATGACGCCGCTTGGGTTTGCTTCTTTGGCAAACCAAGCCACATCAAGCATTTTCATGAAATCACTGCGTGAGACGTGGCCATCATGTCCAGCCATCTTCTGAGCACTGGGCATGTCATCCTTCGGCTCCTAAACAGCATCGAAGTCATTCACACAGTAGATCCTCAACTGTCCCTTAACCCACTTGGCGGCACCCCATCTTTCTTTTGACATACTCTCGATGTTGCCAACATCTGTTCGCAGAAGGTGCCATCGTCGAAAATGTCAAGTCGAAAGATGGAGCCACTCTGGCCACTGAAGAAATCAAATTCCGAGGCTTGGCGAAAGGATGGAGAGATCTCAGAGTTTTTGTGAGCTTTCTTGATCCAATGTCGGGACATAGCCATGGCAATCGTGCGACCGGATTTTTTCCCGCTCCAGGCTCGCCATGAAAACCAATAGCTTTTTCTGAGAGGGAAGGCATGAGAGGAGCAAGTGCTCGAAGGAAGCGCACATCAAGATCATTTAAGGTCAAGGGCCAATGCTCATGAACTTGCGCTAGTACGCCATCAGTAGCCAAGTTGCGCAAAGACTTCTCGACCAGCACAGTATGCCATTTGTAGATGGGAGAGTCAGGTGTGCGTCAGGCATCAAATTTGCCCAGATTGATGTTCATAACCAAGTGTCATGAGAGCAGAGCATGAAATGGGAACTCTGGCTAGCAATCATATCGGGGGCAGCAAACATAAAACAGATACAGTTTGTTCACGTTTTTCGCTGTCACTGCTGTATGAAAATGGATGCCTTGAAAAGAAAGTTATACAGAGCCTGTCCACTACGCCCCGATTTGACGCTCACGACTCCCAAAGTAATCACCATGCCGATTTGGATTGCCTGGGTTGTGGACATATTCTCCTTTCTGGGTTTCCAACCGTTTTCTTGCTTGTGTCACTCCCTCTGGAAGCATTTCACCTTTTCTCTTCGTGCTTGGATAGTCTCCGTAGTCAATCTGGCGGCCAGTTGGAAGTAGTCAATCTGCCGGGGTTTCTTGTGCGTTCCCCTTCCATGCTGTCGAACACTGTTCAATCTGCGTCGTTCTGCAATACAGAGGGAGCCCATCCAAGGCGAAGAGATACGCGGGCGAGTACGATGTATCCAAAATGCTACACGATGCTACACGGATCCAGGAATGCGTTTTCTCAATGGACATAAAGTTAAGCATGAGTGACCTTGTCCATCAAATTTCCTAAACAACCTGCCATTAAGTCTTTGTAGTGGGATATTGCCCAACGAGGATATTAATCATTGACATGTGTATATGTATGGCAACCCCCTTGGACCCAACCATGTGATAGTTTTAAGATTGAAGCTATTTTATCGTTATTGGAGGGGAGGTACCACACATATATATATATATACATATATATATATATATGTATGTATATAGTTTATATAGAGTGTATAGAATATAATACAGACATCATCTTCATGCAGTACTTTCGTACTATGTACTAGCCATGTACTAATCTACGTCTTTGTATACCTTGGGGGCTGTGACCTCGTTGCTGCCTCTTGTGAATCTGAACACAAGTCCAGGCGAAAGTAAAAGGAGCACGAAAAGAGTGAGACAACTGAGACAACAACAAAAACGACAAAAACGACAAAAACGAAGCCCGGGATTTGGAAGAGCATCCGACCATCTGCTTTGCAACCTTTGTCGACGCGTTCAGCAGCGTTGAGTTTGCACTTCGGTTCCCAGTAGTATTCCGTCACAGGGGGAACTGGAAAATAGCAAGTCTTGTACTTCGGCATCTGCAGGGCACAGGTTGATCAGAAACACTTCGGAAAATCTGTGATTGCACGGCGAAAGGAGGCCAAAGGTAACAGCACCGAGGTGAAAAGCTCTGTTCATTTAAACTTGCATGAGTGCTTAGCTCTGGTGAAGATATTCTGCATGTGTTTCATGGATTTGGCGTTGATTCTGCTGCATTATCATTTACTGATATTTATTGTGTCAATTATCAAGACACTTTTTAAAGTTCTAGAGTCATTCTAGAGCTGGATGAACTGGATGATGATAGATTCTAGAGCTAGATGATAAAATATGATAAAATATGACAAAATCAGTTTGGCATAGATATGGTTGACATTTTGCGGTTCCGTTTTGTTCGAAAACTCGCCTTTGCATCCTCCGGGCACTCGGTGATGTAGGGCACATCTCCACAAAAGCGACACTCTTCGTGGAGGCCATCGGCCCAACAGCCCAAGTCCCTCGCGGTCGGGCTGGGCTCTTCGGTAATCAAGATTTATTGGAATAAAATAGAATATATATATTTAAATGGGGAAACGCCAAAGACACCCCTGTGTCCAACCAGCAGGCGACTCCCATCGGCTAACCTTTTTCCCTGAGCCAGAGTTGCCTCGGTGAGAACCTGCAGTTGGAAGAGTGAGGAAAAGGATGCCACTGCTTTCAAACTCCCTAAACTCTAAAAAGAAAGGCAATGAAGCCTATATATATTCTGTCACTCCCGACAGACTCTGAATCGCTTCGGACACAGAGAAGGCTCCTTCTTACAGAAACTGATATCGGAAAAACTCACTTCTGTTTGCGCTCTCGAACCAGATTCGTTCCGGGAAAGACTTCGGTCTCGGCATGCACATGCTTGGATCCATAGTTGGTAGCCTTCAGGTACAGGAAGAGATCTTCCAAACGACCACCTTTCTTTTCGCCATGCTTCCAGACCCACAGGAGATAATCACCATGGGTGGATTGATCAGCCACCATCTCAGCATAGCTCACCTGAAGATTGCTGACCTTGGGTAGCTTGCATACGGTGCTACCCCAATCCTCCAAGCTCACCACACCCGGAGGGAACTTGATCCCCTTCATTTCCAGTGGAGGAACAGGCTTTTGGGAGCAACCAGGAAGGGCATGCTCAGCCGGAAACGATCCCACCATGCTCACCCGCTCAAACTCCTCGCTGTAGAGCTCATCCTCATCATCAGACAAATGACGTTTGCAGGCATCAGACATTGCCCCATGGGTCATTGGTCCAGGAGTCTCCAAGGAGGAGGCATTCACTGTCGCTTGAGCACGTTGCATCAATTGCTGCAACAGGACTCTTTCATCCTCTGACAGCGGCTGCATAGGCTTCGACATGAACTGCGAAGGGAGCAAGAACGAACGTCTAAGTTCAAACGAGGAGTGTCTCACCGACTCAAACAAAAGGAAATTGCACTGCGAGAGACAAACTTCAAAACCAGAGATGCACAAGAAGGTTTGTCACTGCACCCATTGCACTGAAAAACCAACAAAATCCCAGAGGTTGAATCACTACCCAGGATACAAACTTAACCAGGCATTCTCATCAGCGTCTCTGACTGAAAAGCAGTAGTCGGCTCTCGGCAGTGTTGACAAAACTCCCAAATTCGATGAAAACATGCAGTGTAGGAAATTACCAGAGACATCGTCTAAAAACCTCTTACTTCATCCAGAGTGCTTGTCATATTCAATGGTTCTCACAAACTGTACAAGGCAACGATCCAGACCCTAGTGGGCTCTATCACGATTAAACACCTTGGCATGCATTAAGGCTCACTGCTCACGCTCTCTTGGGATTTGGACATGGCGGCAAGTTTTCTCCGATCTCTTTCAGCTTTGGCACGTTCGAGTACCGTTGTCTCATCTGCAAGCTGATATCGAGCGGAACGGATGATGGAACGCAAAAGGTCTAAAGGTTCTCCTTTGTCCTTTGTAAGTCCATCAGCTGCCATATGTCCTGTTGGACACCAACGGGGCTCTAAACCTGCCCGCACTATGCTCTGACGAATGATGGCCACATCTATTGCAGTACGTTTATCATCCAAAGCACCACCACTACCCAGTGAGACCAGATGATCATAGAGGGACCTGCAATCAGTGATTCCTACTGGTGATCTTCTTTTCAAAACCTCCAGTGCATTCTCCAAATCGAATGGTCCATCCAAACATTCGGCCAAGAGCAAGAGACACCATTCTGCCATACCGGATGCTGTAGCAAAGGCTTGGGCTTCACCTGACAAAGTGGAGGCTACTACCCGGGGAAGTTTGTAGGACTTCCAGGCCATACAGTGCAGTGGAACATCTTTTCCAAACCTGATGTCATTTGCTGTTAGACCCATCAACCAACCACCTTGGGTTTTATGATCATCATTGTTGGCAAAGGCAGCATCGGACCAAAAGCAAATTGTCAATTGTTCAGCTGGTATGTAAGGAACTCTGAGTTCCAAGTCTGACTGTTGGCGACAACGGCGAACAGCTTGGTTGGCAGTCAAAAGGTGTTGCACCGTTGGATTTGGAAAACTCTGCTGTGACATCGAGGTCTTCACAGCCAGGTCAGGGCGACTCTGAGAAGAAATCCAACCCAAGGCTCCATTCACTGCCCGAAGGGCTTTCACCTCCTTTTCTGTGGCAGGCAGCCAAGGTTTCTTGATCCGTTCTTTGGAAATGGAAATAGGACGAATATGTTGAGCATAGTCCCTTTGTTGATATGTTATCTCTCCATTGTCATGTTGTCGATAAAAGGTTCCAAGAAATTCCCCCTCTCCGATTCTCCACTTCCTGAAGGGAAACCGTGCCTTCAAAAGCTCGATGGCGCGGTCGTATTTGTCACCACAGCCCCCAGAAATTGTGTCATCTACATGAGCACCAAGAACCCCTTGCAAGGAACCATCATCACCATGACAGAGATACAAACAGTTATCTAACTTTGATTTGGTGAACCCAACCTCTTGTGCTACTGAGTCGAATTCCACATACCAATTGTGGGGAGCATCATTGGCACCGTAGATGTTTCCCAACACCTGGACCAGGCTGCCAGGTGCTACGCCAGGTACACCTCCCGGAGGCAATTCAGCAAACACTGGATTCGCTGAGGTTTGTCGGGAGACGTCAGCCTCGAGAAAGGCTCCCTTGATATCACCCAGTCCAAGCTTCCAACCGCAACTCACAATCAGTTGAAGAATGATGCTACGGCTCATTGGTGACAACGTTGGTGAGTGACACTTACCCGACAAAACCTTGGCTTCCAAATCCGGATCATGATGACCCCGAAGACACCATCTAGCCTTGGTACGACTGCTGTTGTCTTCTTTCTTTTCGGTGATGACAAACCGGCTGCTCATGATCCTATCTGGCTTATCCCTACGGATCTTATAGGCTTGATGAGGCGAAATGATCTGGATTGCCCTTTTCTCATCTAGCAAGGTATGAACAAATTCCACTACCTTAGCCTGATCAATGCGCTCCTGGAGCGCTGGTGGATTGTGAGAATGCGGCAATTCGGTCTGGAGCTTTTTCTGGATAAATCCGGCCACCAGAGATTCCACACTACTGTGCTTCTCGGCCAGGAGTGCTTCAATCAACATGATTTCAGTGACGGACTCTACTCTGGGAGCTTTGTTACTGACAGCTTCGGCTTGGACAGGGCTATGGCTGCGCTTATTGCTAGCGTGTACCATCTCTTCCAGAATTTCACCAAAGTCATGTTGGAGCACTGCTGGTGGGCGAATCAGTTCTGAACCCCGATTGGAACCCGACGACCTATGCCTGACAGGACCATACGTATTTTGAACATGCTGACTTCGGCTACGTGAACTTGAACTGGTTGGTTCTGGAACTGACTCTGCTGGCCCCTTGTCCAGTGCTGACATCTGGCCTGAACCGTTCTCAGCTACTCCGGCAGGTGACTCGGGAGAAGGCAAGCTATCGGAAATTCCTATTGGAGCACCACTAGAGGGGACTATGGGACCCTGAGCACCATGTATCTTAAATACAGTTTCTCCCAACCATGGCTGTGCTCTCAAAGGTGCCACACGCTGCTCAGTTGGTAGAGACCACGGTTGGTCAACAAACTCCCTGGTGTCTCCCTGAATTCGCGACAATCGCCAGTTTTCTAACTGCAGCGGTTGTACAGTTGGATCCTTGGGGTCAGGCATGAACTTGCCCACCCTGAGGGTGTTGTGCACTCGGATCAAAAGATCACCTTCCCGTCTCCAGACATCAGGACTTGGTCGGACATTTTGGAAGACACGTTCCACTACCTCATGTTGTGGTGGACCTTCCTGAAGACTCAAGTCCACGTACTGGTTACCCAAAAGATTGCGACCCTCACTGACCAAGTCCTTGATTCCCAGCAGTTCTCGGCCGTCCGACTGGGCTACCGCTCGTTCCAGGTCTGAAGCATGCCGTAAGTGCTCTGGGGACACTTTGAACATGTTCTGACGATGAAAGACCAACACATTGCGACCAATTTTTCCCATAACTATACCAGTTCCGTACCAACGACCTCCAACCAAACGGACCCCCCTCATGTATTTCTGAGTGCGCCAGTAGCTAACAAAATCCCCAGCGACAAAATCCCTCTCGACCCTGGGACGAGCATTCAAGGCTGCACGGAGACTTGCATCATCCTGAGATAGAGCTACCGCATTTCGAGCTGCCGTCCGAATGGCTTGGGTCCTAGCCGCCTGTGCATCAAACAGCGGACTTGTGGCAGCTACTGGATCCGGATGATCCTGCAACAGATCACTGGCAATTCGGGGATTTCTACCAAACACATGTTGAGTTGGGCTAAGGCCTCGATTATTCAGCATCTCATTCTTACTGTTGCAAGAAAACAGAATGCACTGCTCAAATTCTTGTCGGCTTGTTGGCTGCACTTGATCAACGACCTTTTGAAGGATTACCTCAAACAAATGACCATGCTTCTCAACTTTGCCCAATTGGTTGTGTGCTTCAGCGGCTGTGCTGATCACCCGTGTACCTGAAAGTTCCAGCGGATCCACAAATGCACCTGACAAATTGGTGCGAGCTGGGTCAACGATGACTTCGACCGGTGCACCAGCCCATTGCTGCCACCCTCGCATGAACAGGTCACGCAGCAGCTCTCCGGTTTCTACTTCATAGAAAGGAAACATGAGTTGGTATCCCGAGGCATAGTCCACCACATTCAAACAGGGCACAGTTTGGTTCTCTTGCCAGCCTACGACACGCTTGACATCCAGTCCTACTCGGTGATTAAAATCTACCAACTGGTGAGCTGAAGCAGGCAAACATGGAGCAGGGCGCTGACGATTGTGACACACATCGCACCTAAATTCGGAGGCCAAACGAACTGCTTGATCTGAACCTCCAGCATTCTTGAGGATGCGAACCAAATCCCTATTTGTCGGATGCCCCAAGTTGTTGTGAAGTTTGTGCAACTCAACTTTGGCTTGATCATCGGTTGGTGCATCCACTTCAGATGCCAGAACTTCAGAGATCCTACACGGCTGGACGGACTCCGATTCAGAGGCTGTCGAGGTGAAACAGCTCTCCTTCACTTGTGGATTCTCCTTCAGGCACGAAAATTGGCACAGCAAGGCGTCATTCCTCAGGCATGAGAGCCAATGATCACAGAACTGTGGTGTATATCGAGAGGTCTTTACACTCAAGTTTTCTCCATCAGTACACTTTCCGGCCACCTGTTTGTGTTGTTCGTGGCCGGGACATGTAATTGCTAAGGGTTTCATGTCTGCATGTGAAACAGCTAAACCCGTTGCTTTGCGAATTGGCAGTCCTGAGTCTGGGTCAGTCAACCCATAGGCACACAGATCGGCTCTGCACAGGTGCATCTGTTGCAAAAGCTTCTGCATGGGAGGATACTTCCAAAGCTCTGAGCTCCACGGGTGTTCAATCAGGACTCTACCGCCCCGTCGGATCTGTTTCTTCACTTGCTGAATCACAAAGTCGGCCTGTTTCTGAGCCACTCGTTTGTTGTGAAGACGCTGCAAAAGAGTCAAATGCTGTTGATTTAAATGATACCAGCCGCCCCAATGAGTACATGGTGGACATGCCACCAACAGTTTTGGTCGCTGGACATCCACCATGCGATCTACTTTCTTTTGTGTGGATGGCTTGTTCAAATCCCAACCCTGTAGAATATCAAACGAAAGACCCGTTCCACCTTTCTTGATGACAGCTTCAACAAAACGAGGAGGTGAAAAAAGCTCAGCTACTTCACATGACTTGTAATGTGACTGCATTTTTCCCCAGGCCTCTCGATTTGGCATCAAGCTGCGGTTCTGCTTCATGGTGATGCGGCCATAGGTCTCCACATCCGACGTCTCCGAGGCTGCTGGAGAAGCTGCCAAGACCTCATTCTCAGGAAATTGCATAACATTGATGACGTACTGGCCGGCTTCATTGGTGGTGAGAGGTCGAGCTGCGCCCCCCAAAATGCTGACAGTCTCGGCTGAGAAGTCAACCACTCCCTTCAAGCTCTTCATGGTGGTTCGACTTAGCAACAGAGGAGCGTCTCCAGAAATCACTGCAGCCTCGACATAACCCTCATGACCATGAATTCCAATGGGGATAAGGGCCACCTTTGCAGACATTTCCTCTTGTCCATTGCCAAAACGGAACAGGTTGTTCTCCTTCTTGAGAGTAGGGCAAGCTTTTCCTCGTTCAGCCAGCATGCGGAAAAAGGAGTTCAACGTTTCCTGTCCCACCAGTGTTCGACCACATCCAGAATCAATGATGCCAAAGCCAGGCGACGACACCAGAAGGGCCTCATGCAACGAAGAGCCCTCCCAGACCACTGCCGCTCCTGAGGCATGAGACGATGACCCCTTGCCATCCGACTTGGCATCTCTGTTGGGACAGTTGCGAGCCCAATGGCCCGTGCGACCACAACGAAAGCACTTGGTTTGCTTTCGAACATCACTCACCTCACGCACGAACTTCTTTTTCACCAGATCAGCTTGGGAGAACTTTCGACTGCGCTGCAAGCGTGCAATCTCAGCTCTCTTTTCTCTCCAGGAAGCAGCGAGAATCTCGACTGTCTCGCCCTCAGTATAGGTTTCACCAGGGGGAGGTGGACCTTCGAGAGCGACTCCATGCTCGCCCAAGAAGGCCTCAACATCACTGAAGATCACTGCGTCCGGGGCCTCATCTGTGACCTCGGCAGGCATGCCACTATCTTCATCCCAGGACTCTTCCTCCGGAGTGACCAGCAAAGCTGCCGATGTTCGTGTCCTTCCCGAACGACTACTCATGCGAAAATCTGGGAAACACGACCGCATGGCCGATACTATGGTTGCCAGCTTCAAATCACCTTGGGCCTTGGCTGTCACTATGGCCCTCTGATCCTCTGACAACCCTGATTGGTGGAGACACACCCAACCCTGAGCCTCCGTAGGGAAGTCCACATTGACCTTCCGACGGCAACGAGCGAATGTCTCCGTCACCTTTGCCGTCCATTCAGCAATTGACTCGCCATCACGAGGACCAAGTTGGAAGACCTCCTTCAAACACTCGGCCATGTGGTCATGCTGAAGCTTGTCAGGAAACCTCGCATCCAAGGCTGCCCAGAGAACTTCATCGCCGTTCTCCTCAGCCAACTGCTCGAGCTTGACATACTCGACTGTCTCCAGTGCCAGGCCATCGAGAAGGCAGTACACGAAGGGCCCTCTTTGAGTCTTCTGCATGTCCTTCATCGACAACATTTTGGCCTTGGCCCAAAGCTTCCACTGCTTGTAGGCTTTCGAGTCCAGGTCATTGCCCGAAAACCGTTTATATTGGCCTCCGCCTCCATCCTTTGAGTCAGATGCCATGCCACTGCTTTCCGCCAACCGCTCCTCCTGGAGCTTGGCAGTCCCCCTGGTGCGGCCACCGTAGTGGCTCCGCTACCAGTTTAAATGGGGAAACGCCAAAGACACCCCTGTGTCCAACCAGCAGGCGACTCCCATCGGCTAACCTTTTTCCCTGAGCCAGAGTTGCCTCGGTGAGAACCTGCAGTTGGAAGAGTGAGGAAAAGGATGCCACTGCTTTCAAATATATATATATATTATATGTATATAGAGAGAGAGAGATAGATAGATAGATAGATAGATAGATAGATAGAATAATCAGAAAATTCAATCCTCTCAAGAAAAATGACATGATTCAAAGTGACAAACTGAAGTGTTTCTGAGCAACCCCAGCTTGCAGTTCTCATCCCAGTAGTATGGAACGCGCGGCTTGTTCGGAAAAACACACTTGTCAGCATTGTTTGTAGCATGCACAGCACCGAGTATCAGCACATAGATCTTCATGGCCAGCCGAGAAGACTTTGGCCTTTTAAAAATTCAATAGTACATCTTTCTACTGAGTTCTAGAACTGGAACCAGCAGCATCAACATGGACAAAATGGACATGGACGGACAGAAATGCTGTGAAGATCTGTGCAGATGACCATAGATGACGGCACCGTGACACCCCAAGTTCCCCTCCTGCCGCAGCGGCTCGGCTGGTGTCGCTTGTGGAGCTTCCTGGCCACACCAGCTCCAAAGATATACCCTGTACTGACCATATAGCCATATTGCAACATATTGCAACATATATTGCAACACGTTGCAACGTATACCCCAACTATCCTCAACCTCATGGCCGTGACATTCATTTTGAATCGGGAAGACCATGGTTTCCGTATCTTTCCAGATTTTAAACCACTGCATTTTTGGGGATGAAACTTTTTGGCGGAGAAACCGAGGTTTTATCGCATGTCTCGGTGCTGCCTCCAATAGCTGAGCCCATGCCTGGCGAAACTGCGAGTGGGGAGTGGTATACTGATTGTGACTAGATTGAAGTGACGAAGCTGGAACAAAGTGTGTCCAAAAAGTGTGTCCAAAAGAAACAGCAAATTTTCTACGGTTTCCCATGATCGCCTCAGCCTTCGGTGCTGTCGACCGCAGCATCTCAGCGACTCGCTGACGTTGTGAGTCCTCCAAATGGGCCAGCACGGCACTGAGCACCTTTGTCGTCTTGGTCATCTTGGTCGGGGTTGTCACAGTTATAGTCACTACACAGATTTTGTGAGGATCAATATGAACAGAATCCGAAGAACCTGGTGCTAGCAAAAAGCTGACTGGAAATTTCACTTGGAATGATGAAACGTGTTCGTCTTGCAGACTCAATGCTTAACGAGAGAAACCCCACAGGCATGTGTAGCTGGGATTCAAAGCATTCTGAAATTGTCGCTGGTCTTGTGAATATTTGCAGATTTTTCTTCGTGCGAATGCCCTTGTGATGTGGTAAATCAGTGGACCACATGTGTCGCTTTCACGGTGGCATGTTGCCGAGTGACATCACCTCCAGGCTGCAAGCCTAGCACCAAATTTACGAAATGTTTACAATGGTTGGAGGATTGGTCGGAGGGTTGGAGGATGGGTATGCTGTTTTGAATGGTGTCAAAATGTTTCAAAATATGTTTCAAATATTGAAACGACAAGTCATATACTGGATAAGGCTGTGACCAGCAGCATCTGCCAACGCAACCAGAGAAGCAACAGCAACTGCATCGCCACTGGCTGCCGCCAAACCGTGCTGCAACAAGGCAGAGCACACCACCTGTCACTATCTGTCACTGCAAGGGTTCAGCTGTGTCCTCCAGCTGTCCTGTCCTGTTGACTCAGAATTATCAGAATTGCTTAGGAAACTGTTTTGATGTGCTGAGAAAACTGGTTAGAACCTCTGTCGGCGCTGCCACCCGAGCCAAGACAGCAAGGTCTCTCCTGAGCCACAGACTTCAAGGGAAGAAAAAATCTAAAGGAAATCTTGTGAAACAAGAAAGGTCAGGTCCTCCAATGAACTATGCCTCTATGCCACACCAATCATATCTATACTCATATGATCTCACAGACCTACTCATACTATGCTGAAGACTGTGAAGACTGCAGCCATCATCGGTACATATGAGATCATATGATGAATCATATAAGTATCATCATATAAGTATATATATATATGTATATTAAGTATCATCAGTGATCAGTATCCATCAGTCTCTTCCAGCGCTCCGAGTTTCAAGACGCTCCGTTTGGGCGGTGCCAAGTCCATCAACGACCAGAGCTCCGTGGCGAAGAGTCGCACTTCGCGGCGCCATTCGTCCACTTCCTCCCCTAAGGACTGCAAGAACGGGCCTAGGATGGTCGCTGCGTCGCTGAGCTTCAAAATTCTTCATTTTCTTCATATGTCATATGTTTGTTCGTTTCTGTTCTATTTAAAGCCGATAAAGCCGCAGAGAATCGTAATCTTCAAACGCTTCACTGAAAATATCCAGGGCACTCCATCGAGGGAAAGATCCAGAATCCAGCGTCTCCTCGCAAGCATAATGGCTTCAATGGCTCAATACTTACAGTATCTAACAATATCTAACAGTGTTGTTCACAGCGTTGCTTATTCTATTTTATTTTGCTTATTCCGAATTCCTCCAACTCTGGTTTTCAACGTTTCATCACCACGGAAGCTGTGCAAAAAGGCACTATCTTCTGCTGTCTCATTGCTTCGCTTCGGTCCCGCAAGAATCTCACGAGTTCAGGTAAGCGCTTGTCGCCCATCAGACCTGTGCGCCAAGGGAATGCCTCGGCCCGCCAGATAACAAGATCGCACAAATCATCAGAAAAATACAAACCTGTCCCGTTCCAATTTACTTCAATGCTTCAAATCGTTATGCGGTTGGCCTTCAAATCATTCAAGAATATTCAAAAACATGAAATGCGAAAGACCCTTGACGAAAGCCCCTTGCGCCCCAGCTGATGCCTTGTGCCACGTGACCAAGAGACAGGGCATCAGCTGTTGTCGCGCAGCAGCTGCTGCCACAAGTGCCTGATGCAGCGCTAACCTCAGAAGCGACCAGAGAATCCGGAGAATACCGAGACCAGAGAAGAAACCGCAACTATGAAAATCTATGAAATGTGTTGGAAATGTGTTGGAAATGCTTTGTGCAATTTAAACTTGAGACAAGGTGCTGCTCGTTGCGAATTTCGATGTCAATGTTCGCTTCAGGGTCTATGCAATCCCTGCAAACAGCTAGAGTCAGCTAGAGATGAGATATGCATCATATTTTTCATGTTCATCTCCAAAACAGATCTCCGTCGAGCATGTGATGTCTGATCCACTCACTGCATTTTTGTGTTCTTCTCGTCTCCACAATGTCACCGCAATGTCCCACGTGATGCGAAAAACAAGGGAACACCGCCTTGAAGCGGGCGTGGCTTTTTAATCATTGGGGAGTTTGAATCAGGAAGTATAATAAATATATTGATTATATTTGATTATATTGTAAATTACAGAACTTACAGTGAATGATGTTTCCACAGGTTTGCGCCTGAAGGCCACGTGATGCGAACAGAGCCCAAGCAAGGCGCCAAGGATCGCGTCGCGCAGTTCGGGAAGATCATCCACCTCGAACGAAGAAACCGCAGGTGAAACACCTTCGAACATCTTGGAACACAAAAAAGAACCTAAAATTCATCTTAATTCATCTTAATTCTCCAACTCTGAGTTAAAGCAAGATGCATAGGAAGAATCTGCTTGCTCAAAACATAGAGCACCTGGCCAAGTGCCGGCAATGAAGCAACAAGTTCTCTCACACCATCCAGATGTTCATCTCGTTCCTTGACAACTCCGCATCTGCGCTTCAGCTCAAACTGTGTTTCAACAAGTTCGTACTCTTTAGATCGGAGTTTCTCCCCGCCTTTTGCAAAGACAACAGCGGAGTAAGCATCCTGGCAGCACAAACTTCTAAATTCAGAATTCGACCTCTGTTTTGGCTCCCATGTTGCCATGTTGTGTCTAAATTCATGAGGCACAGCTCTTTTCGATGCGACTGACATCATCATTAGTGATCCACAGGGCCAGGCCAGACCAGGATGATAAAGTTGAGACATGACCACAGTGTCCAGCATGCAACACGGATGTCCTCCCCTGCAAAGTCCCAAAGGACATCAGCGGAAAAGTGGTTGTAGCCCATGCCACGCACAGCAACAGCCAGAAGCCACCTGGGCTGCTATCGGATCTGCTATCGGACCTCAAGTTTTGGGCACCAACCAGTGGCTCTTTTGGATGTCTCGATATCCTCCCCACCCACCGTTGCGTCCAAGACACATGCACACAGATGTCAAGGCCTTGACGCGTAAAACACACCGAAATCGGCAAATGACAAGCCAAGGGAGACAGATTTCCACAGCCATATGGTCCATGGATGGTCCATGGATGGTCCATGGATGGTCCATGGGTCCTGACCTTGTAAAGCCGCCGTGAATCTGTGGTCTCGTTTGGCGTCTGATGAAGACCAAGCATTTCCTTAGTGCATTGCAAATGTAGCAAGGTCGGAACAGCTACCGACTTTGCCCGAGAATTAAAAGAGTCAACTGAACCAGCCAGACTTTGCCAAACGCATCTCTGATATGCTCAGACTGTCACCATGTCCATCGTTTCCGCTCAACTTTGACAAGTTTCCAGTGCTTCAGGGTCTCCTGCTTGATGCATCTGTGCCTACGGAAATGCCATGGTGCTGTGCTGTGGTGCAGTTTCATAATTTTCATAGTGTCTGATTGTCCCATGTCGCTCACGCCGTCGCCTCTGCTCGCGCCAGGCTTTGCGAAATGTCCAGCACCAAGCCATCCATCGCCGATGCAAGTGGCTCCAAAAACCTTTCGAAACATGTCGAAACTGATCGGTAAATTGCTCAGGCCAAGAGTCATCGGAGTTTGTCAAACTCCCGCTCTAGACTTCATCAATATCACACAGAATATTATTTTAAAAAATCTCTGTATAAATGATGATAAATGTTCGAAATCACTTCCAAATCTGCTAAATTATTCCGACCATTCCAACATGCTCCCATCACAAGCTGCCGCCAGGTCACCTGGCTGTTGCATGTCTGTGCTTGAATTTCAGCCGGTCAATCGTCCGGTCCTTCCAGAATAGTGTCATTGTGTGATTGAAGCAGGAACCTACGAATTACCATCATTAGTTCGTGCATTACCCCTTTCCAAGATACTATTGTGATCTATTGTGATATGCATCTAAAACACGTCTGTGTAAAGCACGTGAGTCAAATCCGATCCAAATACAGTTGACTCTTCAACTTGAATCTTTCATGATCTTCTCAACTGGAGTTCTCAAACACTTTACCTTTGCTGATTCGCTCTTTTCCACTATGTCGCGCTTCGTTTTCGCGGTTCGTTTCGCATGACGCTTCTCGTTGTGTTTCGGTCCTTCGGCGAGGACTCCTCGTCCTCGGCTGCGAAGAGCTGTGCCGTGGCACAGAGAGCATCGGCCAGGGTCTCGGCCACAGCCAGGCTGAGACCAACCTGATCCGATCGCAGAATTTAAACAGTTGAAACAGCGGTGAATACCTGAAGTAGATCCTGAAGGGAAGAAACAGATCAGTAGACTCAGTAGATCTCTGAAATGTTCTGAAAGGGGAGTGCTCTAAGACTCCAAGAGATCACAAGTCTTTCTCACATCAGTCCCACCTCATCTGCACTTGCCACACAGGCAAGGCCCAATGCTGTGATGCCCTCGTCCCCAGAGTCACAAGAGTCTTGAACAAAACAAGGACAACTTTGACAACTTTTGGACTTTCGAAGAACTCTTGAGATCTGCCAACTTCCTGGCCTCCAAAATGCCTCGTGCTGTGGAGGAGCCTCCAAAATTCGACCCAGAGTTGCAGCCTATCTTTGGAGCATCACGTTTTCATCACGTTTTCATGGCATCCAAATTTGGGTTTCTCACCCACGCCAGTATCAAACATCAGGTGTGTTGAAAACATACCTTTCTGATATGGTAGAGTCGCCAGAAGCAACATGAAGCAACTGTGTTGAACCACGCTAGTTTTGATTCAGGAGTTCAAATTGGCTTAGACAGTCACAGCGCAATTGGTGTTTTCAAACAAAGATTTACCACCAAGCCCTGCGCCTGATTCGAGGAGCTGTAGGGCTTCAACCACCAACGCTTCCAACGCGCCTGCTTGCTCTGGCAGATCTGACTCAAGCCTTGGAAACTCATTGAGATAAATATTGAGATATACAGATGATATACATATAATATGTAATTTTGTATGTATATATATATAATTATATGATATGTCTATATATACCCATATATTGAACTGCGAATCAAGTAGTTTCCACCAAAAACTACAACACTAGCTACCGAACTCGACGTCAGACAAGCGCATGCTGAAGATCAAATGTCAACAATGTACTTGTGAAAGTAATCTGAATGGGGCGATGGGAGCAAATAAGATAAATAAGAGTGGCCACCAAGCCATGATCCCAAAAATGTAGCAACATTTAGTCTTGATCAGATTTCGAAAGGAAATTAAGAGTATGGATCTTGTCTGTTGCTCTGATTTGCGATTGTGTGATGGTGGTGACTTGCTGACTTTTGACCCCAAATTCCAAAAATGGGAGTCTTGGATCTTTTGGATCTTGGACTCCCAAATATTCACATCAATTCACATCAATTCACATCAGTATAAGTATAATAATCCCAACGTTATAGTCCATATTAACCATGGTATATCATGGTTATCACCTGAGGATTCCTCAGGATTCCTCAGGATGGCCGAACTTTTCACCATTTTTCACCAGGCCGCTCGGCTCCGCATCTTCGGTGCAAGCGCTGAAGAGCAGCCACAGCAGCCGCACGGCGACTCATGGCGCCATGGCTCAGTGACGAGGCGTCATGGTGTCACTATGAGTCACAACGTGTAGGAATCAAAATATATCATGGTATATCATGGTAAACATCTATACAACTATCTATATATATATATAGTCTGTATATATATATAGATATGTATACATAACATATGTATACATATATACGCACATTGCTCGGCACATATATATATATATATATGTTCTGTATATATATATATATTATACTGGGTACTGATGAGTTAGGACTTGTGGCCCCGGATGAGTCAGGACTTGCTGGGGTCTAGTCCTATCTCTTGTGTCCACTGTTTGAAGCGCTTATGGGGAATTGGCTAGGATAGCCACATGAGTTAGGAGTTTTGGTACCTGGGATTTGCCAAAACTCCCAACTCATGTGCGCTGAACCCGCTCTGAGACCTGAATGCAAGTCTGAAAAAAACACCCTGATAAATGATCGGGACTTCATGTTTTGTCACAGCAGCAAGGGCTGATGAGATAGGAAATTACAATGGTTCTAGAAAAACAAGTCCTATCTCACATGCGTTCAGTGGCCCATCTTTTTGCCTAGTTACGCCCATGTGCCATTAGATTTCCCGGATCAACCCCCACAAGTCCTATATCACCCGCTTTTAGTGGTGACTGTTTTTTTCCCTTGCTGCACCCATGTGCCATTAGATTTCCCAGGTCAAATCGTCAAATCCCCACAAGTCCTATCTCATCTGCTTTTAGTGGTCAATAGCTTTCCCTTGCTGCACCCATGTGCCAGTTAGACTTTCGAGGTCAAATCCCCACAAGTCCTATCTCATCTGCTTTAGCCTTTTAATGGTCGTTATTTTTCCCTTGCCGCACCCATGCGCCACTAGATTTCCCAGGACAAATCTCCACAAGTCCTATCTCATCTGCTTTTAGTGGTGACTACTTTTCCCTTGCTGCACCCATGTGCCATTAGATTTCCCAGGTCAAATCGTCAAATCCCCACAAGTCCTATCTCATCTGCTTTTAGTGGTCAATAGCTTTCCCTTGCTGCACCCATGTGCCAGTTAGACTTTCGAGATCAAATCCCCACAGGTCCTATCTAATCTGCTTTAGCCTTTTAGTGGTCGTTATTTTTCCCATGCCGCACCCATGCGCCACTAGATTTCCCAGGTCAAATCTCCACAAGTCCTATCTCACGTGCTTTTAGTGGTGACTATGTTTCCCTTGCTGCACCCATGTGCCATCAGATTTCCCAGGTCAAATCGTCAAATCCCCACAAGTCCTATCTCATCTGCTTTTAGTGGTCAATAGCTTTCCCTTGCTGCACCCATGTGCCAGTTAGACTTTCGAGGTCAAATCCCCACAAGTCCTACCTCATCTGCTTTTAGTCGTTGTTATTTTTCCCTTGTCGCACCATGCGCCGCTCGATTTCCCAAGTCAAATCCCCACAAGTCCTATCTCATCTGCTTTGCAATGGTCGCTATTCAGCTTTTTTCATTTTACATTATTTTCCTGCTGTGTCTCCCATTATGTCTCTCCGTTGTGTCTCCCCGGGGCGGCGTTTGCAACTGCTGACCGTCCAGACCGCTCTGAGCAGTGAAGCTGTGGGTGCGAGCAGTTCCAAGCGCCTCCCCGGTGAGACACAACGGGTGCCATAGATTTCCCAAGTCAAGTCGTCAAATCTCCACAAATCATCCTATCTCATCTGCTTTTAATGGTCGCTATTTTTCCCTTCCCATGTGCCATTAGATTTCCCAAGTCAAATCATCAAATCTCCACAAGTCCTATCTCATCTGCTTTTAGTGGTCCCTATATGTCGCTATTTTTCCCTTGCCACACCCATGTGCCATTAGATTTCCCAAGTCAAATCGTCAAACCCCCACAAGTCCTATCTCATCTGCTTTGTAGTGGTCGCTATTCAGCTTTTTCTCATTTTACATCATTTTCCTGTTGTGTCTCCCGTTGTGCCTCTCCGTTGTGTCTCCCCGGGGAGGCGTTTGCAACTGCTGACCGTCCAGACCGTTCTAAGCAGTGAAGCTGTGGGGGTGAGCAGTTCCAAGCGCCTCCCCGGTGAGACACAACGGGTGCCATAGATTTCCCAAGTCAAATCGTCAAATCTCCACAAATCCTATCTCATCTGCTTTTAGTGGTCGCTATTTTTCCGTTGCCTGCCGCACCCATGCTCCATTAGATTTCCCAGCTCAAATCCCCACAAGTCTTATCTCGTCTGCTTTTAGTGGTCGCTATTTTTCCCTTGCCGCACCCACGTGCCATTAGATTTCGCAGGTCAAATCGTCAAATCCCCACAAGTCCTATCTCATCTGCTTTAAGTGGTCACTATTTTTCCCTTGCCACACCCATGTGCCATTAGATTTCCCAAGTCAAATCGTCCAACCCCCACAAGTCCTATCGCATCTGCTTTGCAATGGTCGCTATTCAGCTTTTTCTCAGTTTACATCATTTTCCTGTTGTGTCTCCCGTTGTGTCTCTCCGTTTTGCCTCCCCGGGGCGGCGTTTGCAACTGCTCACCGTCCAGCCCATTCTGAGCAGTGAAGCTTTGGGGGCGAGCAGTTCCAAGCGCCTCCCCGGTGAGACACAACGGGTGCCATAGATTTCCCAAGTCAAATCGTCAAATCTCCACAAGTCCTATCTCATCTGCTTTTAGTGGTCCCTATATGTCGCTATTTTTCCCTTGCCACACCCATGTGCCATTAGATTTCCCAAGTCAAATCGTCAAACCCACACAAGTCCTATCTCATCTGCTTTGCCGTGGTCGCTATTCAGCTTTTTCTCATTTTACATCATTTTCCTGTTGTGTCTCCCGTTGTGCCTCTCCGTTGTGCCTCTCCGTTGTGTCTCCCTGGGGAGGCGTTTGCAACTGCTGACCGTCCAGCCCGTTCTGAGCAGTGAAGCTGTGGGTGCGAGCAGTTCCAAGCGCCTCCCCGGTGAGACACAACGGGTGCCATAGATTTCCCAAGTCAAGTCGTCAAATCTCCACAAATCATCCTATCTCATCTGCTTTTAATGGTCGCTATTTTTCCCTTCCCATGTGCCATTAGATTTCCCAAGTCAAATCATCAAATCTCCACAAGTCCTATCTCATCTGCTTTTAGTGGTCCCTATATGTCGCTATTTTTCCCTTGCCACACCCATGTGCCATTAGATTTCCCAAGTCAAATCGTCAAACCCCCACAAGTCCTATCTCATCTGCTTTGTAGTGGTCGCTATTCAGCTTTTTCTCATTTTACATCATTTTCCTGTTGTGTCTCCCGTTGTGCCTCTCCGTTGTGTCTCCCCGGGGAGGCGTTTGCAACTGCTGACCGTCCAGACCGTTCTAAGCAGTGAAGCTGTGGGGGTGAGCAGTTCCAAGCGCCTCCCCGGTGAGACACAACGGGTGCCATAGATTTCCCAAGTCAAATCGTCAAATCTCCACAAATCCTATCTCATCTGCTTTTAGTGGTCGCTATTTTTCCGTTGCCTGCCGCACCCATGCTCCATTAGATTTCCCAGCTCAAATCCCCACAAGTCTTATCTCGTCTGCTTTTAGTGGTCGCTATTTTTCCCTTGCCGCACCCACGTGCCATTAGATTTCGCAGGTCGAATCGTCAAATCCCCACAAGTCCTATCTCATCTGCTTTAAGTGGTCACTATTTTTCCCTTGCCACACCCATGTGCCATTAGATTTCCCAAGTCAAATCGTCCAACCCCCACAAGTCCTATCGCATCTGCTTTGCAATGGTCGCTATTCAGCTTTTTCTCAGTTTACATCATTTTCCTGTTGTGTCTCCCGTTGTGTCTCTCCGTTTTGCCTCCCCGGGGCGGCGTTCGCAACTGCTCACCGTCCAGCCCATTCTGAGCAGTGAAGCTTTGGGGGCGAGCAGTTCCAAGCGCCTCCCCGGTGAGACACAACGGGTGCCATAGATTTCTCAAGTCAAATCGTCAAATCTCCACAAGTCCTATCTCATCTGCTTTGCCGTGGTCGCTATTCAGCTTTTTCTCATTTTACATCATTTTCCTGTTGTGTCTCCCGTTGTGCCTCTCCGTTGTGCCTCTCCGTTGTGTCTCCCTGGGGAGGCGTTTGCAACTGCTGACCGTCCAGCCCGTTCTGAGCAGTGAAGCTTTGGGGGCGAGCAGTTCCAAGCGCCTCCCCGGTGAGACACAACGGGTGCCATAGATTTCTCAAGTCAAATCGTCAAATCTCCACAAATCCTATCTCATCTGCTTTTAGTGGTCACTATTTTTCCCTTGCCACACCCATGTGCCATTAGATTTCCCAAGTCAAATCGTCCAACCCCCACAAGTCCTATCTCATCTGCTTTGCAATGGTCGCTATTCAGCTTTTTCTCAGTTTACAT